GCGATTCGCAATTTTAGCTCGTGTTCGATCGCCGACTCGTTGCATCGAACCCATAACCGACGTGCCTGCTCGTCTGCTCCACGATCATTGCCCGGCTACGCCCCTTACGCGCCGACACTCGTCGGCCGACTCGAAATAGCACCGGGATATCGCTCGGTGTATCTTTGGACCAGACTCCATTCACACTCCCAAACTCCACGCAACTCGCGCGCTGGATGTTCGCGAGTCTCTTTCTTCTTGTCCATCGTTTTATTGCTCTGGCCTGTCTGTCCGTTGGTTGGCCGTGGTTTCCGACGTCGGAGTAAATTGCGTTCCCGAGCGTCGCGTGCGTTTTCGAGAATCGGCGTGCCACCTCGAGAAGAGGAACGAGAAGCCAGAGTGGCGTGCGTTCGTTGAAATGTCGAAGCTTGGAAATGCACGGGGCTACCCCGTACGGTCGAGTTTTCAGCCCCCCACGTGACCGAGCAACCCTCCTCGTTACAGGGTGACGTGCCGTCTCGTCAGGGGCGACGGTCATTGGCGCGTTCAGCCCTTCCGACACGCGACACCGACGACACGCCGAGTTAACTCGAAATATTACGACGCCGGTTAGGCTCATTATGGATGGATAGCTATCGATGGACACGAGTCGTCGTCGTCGTCGCCGTCGTCGTCGTCGCCGCCGACACCCCACTGCGAGACAAGCGCTAAATTCCGCCGACGCGACGGCTAGTTTCGAATACGAATTCTTCTCCCCGTTTGACGAGTGTCGCGAAATATTCCTCGAAACGGTGATAAACGTTGAAACGCGCGTTCTTCGACGACTTTTCCGCCGGAAAGAATTCTTCCGCCCGAAGAATCAAAATGGTGCGATGTAATCGAATTTTAGCGGAGACATCTCGCCGTCAGGGATCGATCTCCCGATCATAAATCTGACGGCTGAAAATTGCCTCGAAACGCCTGGATGCCGAGAAAAGAGACCGATTTGTCCTATTCCGAACGCGAGATCCCCCGTCGAATAATCCAGAAATAAATTCTCATCCGATCGTTTCTACCCTCTTCTCGCCTCGATATTTTCCATCTTCCCTGCCTGCACGTGCACCGAGCAACCGTCGAAAGAGAAATCTCGGTTAACGCCTAAGACCCATGGAAATGCTCCTTAAATGGTATTTCTACGCACTTTCCCCATCAGAGGCGCCGCTGTATCAGACCGAGGGTGCCGAATAAACGGCTACATAAAGTTCGGGATTGGCGCGCGGCGCAACCACCCTTGTACCATGCGAAGGGTGGTCAGCTTGTCCGGGCACACATATGTGCACTTGTTCGAGCACAACCCTCCTTCATCTCTATACCCGAACTCCTACCGCTTGCCTCAAAAAAATAACGAGAAATGTTTCGCCTCTCTGTGACGTCTCTCTGTCGAATATTGAACTGGCGTGTACATAATTAGCTCGAAGGTCCATAAAAACCAATCGAAGATCCGAGGAATTCGAATCGACTGCAAAGCGACTGGAACGATGGACGGGACGGTTTCGCGAAGAGGAAGGAGGAGAAAGAAAAAAAGAGTAAGGGAAAGAAAAAGATAGAAAAAGAAAGAAAAAAGGGAGAAAACGATTGCGCAAAGTCGATAGACGCGCAAGCTGTTCGACCGGATCTCCGTTCGTGCAACTTGCCCTCGAGTTAATTTAACTTTCGCGATTCGTGGCCCGCGGTAACGCGCGTTCCTATGAAACAGCCGGTAGAATGTGATGCACGTAGCACGAGGAAGAGACTACGTGCAGGCAACCCCAAGGACGAGGGATGGTGGTCGGGCACGAGAGCTCGATATATATTAAGATCCACAAGCCCTCCGCTAGACTGAAAGTTCGTCCACCCCCGCGTAACCCCCAAAGTCTTCCCACTAACTCCCTTTGCCCCGCTCAACCGAAGCTACACCATCGGAATTGCGATTATGGTGGCAATATTACGGTTCGCCGAGGGAGAGAAGAACCGCCGCTTCGTTCCTAGAGCAACTACACACAAGCAGCTACGGGATAAGGAAGGGAAGAAGAGACGGAGAGAAGGCTTCTAGCCTCTCTCCTCCTTCTTCGCCTCTCTTCTGCTTCTCTCTTTCTTGTTTTCCTCGCCTTTCCTCCCCGCCTCGTCTATCCCGCGAGGTTCCCTCTTGCAACAACTCGTAGTACGAGTCGCTCGCTCGCAGAGCTTATTGGCTTTATTTCGAAACCGGCAGTTCATATCTATTTACTGGCGCAGGCTGATACACGAGGAAATAGAAAACGGCGAGCGACGACTCGGCTCGACGAGACTGGTCTACCCGCTGTGGCCAGGGATGCTCGTGTTCCCGACAAATCGATAGCTTAATGCCTCGTTCGTGTAACGCGCGTTACACTTTATCGGCGACGACTGAATTTCATCGTTTTCCGGGAACAAGACCGCGGAATCCATCGCGGAAACGAATAACGACGCGGAACGAAACTTCTTTTCCTCCTTTTTATTCATCGCAACGTCTCTCGTGTGGGGTCAACGTTCCGCCAGGTATTCTTCTAATTTGCTTCTCCCCTTGCGGGTAACCTTGCTGATTTTTCATCGATATCGCCGATCCATTTAATCCCAGCCGATCGGAAACCGGAAAGATCGACCAAGTGTAGCACGCGCGCGTGCACAGTGGTCGAGGAACAGTCGCGTTCGGTATAATTTCCGAGCAAATTAATAACCGTCCATCGAGACGGTGGTAATATTTTTCCGGTGAACGTAGACCGAGGGATAGAGCAAATACCATGGCCATTACACAGAGAGCAATTAAAAGCGTCGAGTGGAGATATTTTTCGCGGCCGCGTTCCGCCCGAATTCGCAACGCATTTGCCTCTCGATTAAGCGGACTTTTATTATCTCGACTGATTTCGAAAACAGGATCTTCGAGTCGACGCCGTTAATGGATTCGTGTCGCGTCGATCGATCGATCTCGACTAATTGAGAAGCTGAAATCCGACAAATTTCGTCTTTTAACCGATAAAGAGTCAAGTTACTCGCCGCTGGTTACTAATCTTCCATGCGGCACGCTAACGCATCCGAGCTGCGAAATACGTTAAGTGGCGTAATTAATTTCATTTACAATCTCGCCAACCTCCCGGAAAGGTATTAAAGGAGCAAGTAACTTGGACATCGATATAATACCGCGTTCCTCCTGCTTTTCCCTTTTCTCCTTTCCTTCCCTCTTTTATCATTCGTCTCGGTTTCCCCCGTGCCCCCGCGCCGACGAGTAATTTCGCGGGAGAATCGCGCCGTCGGGAAATTCGCCTGGCCGAAAAATTGACGCGGCACGTTAAAAGCGTACGTCTCGGCGGGGCCCAATTAAATTCCGCGGGCGTTAACGATGCACGTACTCTGTCTTTTTTCGCTTTGCGGCAGCCTGGAAGCCTCTGACGAAAGAACGAAACGAAAGGGGCGCCAAAAGATAGAGAGACGACGGAGAATAAAGAGAGAGAGAGAGAGAGAGAGAGGGGGGGAGAGCAGTGGCGAGAGTAAGAAATGGGCGGGGGTGGAATTTACCGACCTAACGCAATTTCCCAGGCGATAAAGCTCCCGCGTAGGCGTCGAAATAACATCTCTAAGACTTTTCTTCGTTCCTCTAATAGACTTTGCGTTGTATGGTATGACCTCACGCCTTCTGCCTCTTACGATTTCTCCCCGGCACGATAACATTCGATCGAGCGAATACCGCGCAAAGTCGTTCCATTTCGCAGATAACTGCAATCGGCTCGCGATCCTTCGTTAATTTGTTCGTTAGCGCAACCCGACTCGTCGTGATTTCTCTGATCGCTGAACGTTGATGAGCTCTGCGTTCGTCCATCTACCGAAACAAAGTTCCTTTTTTCCCCTCTCGTCCGCCATTTTTCCCCGTAATAATCTCTTTGTGCTACTGAGTAACCGTACGGCTGAATTTATTGCGGCCTCCCTGCCGGAAACACGTCCGCAAGAAAATCTTCTGGATAAGAAGCCTGATCTTCTCGATCTACCGTTTTTTGTCCTCCCTTGCCTACCTAGTCGTTCCACTGCGAGTATCGAAAGAGAAAGAGAATAGTGCGCGATGAGAGAAATCTGTCGACGAGCTGAAGGACGATGACGATGATGACGACGACGACGACGACGACGACGACGACGACAAAGACGATGACAACGACAACGCGACGACGACGGAGACGAAGAAGACGAAGAAGACGATGGCGACGACGACGACGGCGACGATGGTGGCGACGACGACGGGTCCTTCTTGCCCGGTCGGAACTTTTTGCGGTCTCTCTCGGGACGAGCCCAAGCCGAGGGGGGCAATAAAACTAATGGTAACGCGCGCCGGTAATTCCTTGCGGTCTGTTTGTCGCAAGTCGACGACCTGGCCTCTCCGCCTCATCATTTGCCGAGGGAGGATACCGCGTTCAACGTCGACGGACAAGTGGTTCCTCGGATCGGACATGGACCAGCGTGAATATCCTCTCCCTTTCTCTCTTTTCCGTCCATCGCGGTCTAGTGATCGGGCCGATAGCGATCGGAAAGCGTCTCTATCCAGCCACTCCCGTACACCCGAGAATAAATCTCAGTTCGCCGAACGGGGTCGGTTCTTTGTCGTCTGCCTCGAATTCTTTGCAGCTTCCGTAATCCGTCTTCGTTGTTTCTGTAAATATCATCAAGAAGGGTGAAATCAATGGCAGAACCTTGAAGCGTAGAGAGAACGGAAGGACTGCTCCGGAGGAAGTTGCAGCTAGGGGTTCGAGCAAAGCTGATTTCGTAGATGCTGACTCGATGAAATCTCGCGTAATCCGAACGCAAACAGCCGAGTCTCTTCACTGAGGGTCCCGAAAGGAGATCCCAACGACGTCTCGTGTTATTTAAACAGCGTTTATCTTATCGAAGTTAATTCAGACGCACGCGTAGGTTAAACGCCTCGCGAATAAAAAGCCCGGTGTTTCCTCGTTAATCGACGTATCGTGGAAAATTAAGATCGTCCCGTGCTCGTTTGATTGCAGTGGGTGGAAGAGTCGTTCACCAACTTCGAGAAGGGCATCAATTGGCGGAGTTACGTTGTCTGCGACGTAGCGTACAACAACGTAAACAATTGGCTATGGACGCCATTCATCGAGAGGGGACCGGCGAATCGCATGTACATAGAAATCAAATTCACGACTCGTGACTGCTCGTTGTTTCCCGGAAACGCGCTCAGTTGCAAAGAAACTTTCAGTCTACTTTACTACGAGTTCGACGTGGCCACCAAGGAGCCGCCGCCATGGGAAACGGATAGTTACAAGTTGATCGGTAAGCTTGCCAAACGTACTTCTCCGCTCTCGCTTCGAAAACTTTTATCCCGGTTCGGTGAAATTGCCGAAATTTCGTGAAAACGAACGACGCGTGATTTGATTCACAGGACGCATCGCTGCCGGCGAGGGAAGGTTCAATACGAATACCGAGGTGGTGATAAACACGGAGGTGAAATCCATTCCGGTAACGAAGAAAGGCGTGTACTTTGCCTTCCGTGATCAAGGCGCTTGCATCTCCATCTTGGCAATTAAAGTTTACTACATCAGCTGTCAGGAGACATCGGTGAACTTTGCGCATTTCCCGGCCACGCCAACTGGTCGAGAAGTGGCGCTGATAGAACAAACGGTCGGCACTTGCGTCGCCAACGCGGTCGTGATCGAACAGCCCACCTTCCTCTGCAAAGGAGATGGCAATTGGTACCTCGCTACCGGTGGATGCCACTGCAAACCCGGATATCAAGCCGATGTCGAAAAGCAGATGTCCTGCTTACAGCAGGTCCTCTGATTACGGATTCACGGAATGTCGCTGCGACCCCGGTTATTACAGAGCCGAGAAGGATCCTAAGAAAATGCCTTGTACACGTGAGTGTCTGTTAACGTGTCGATCGGTATCGTTGAAAATCGCGAATACTTTTGGATTACGTTTAACGACGTTACGCCTGTTTATACAGAGCCACCATCGGCGCCACAAAATTTGACGGTGAACTTCGTTGACCAGTCCACCGTGATCCTGTCTTGGAATGCGCCGCACATGCTAGGCGGCAGGACAGATACGACTTACAGGGTGGTCTGCGACGCCTGTAGCATGGGTGTCAAATACATTCCCAACACCGTAAGTTCCTTTCTCGTTTTTCGTCGCTTTGTCTTTACGCGGATCGTCGTGGAATAAAGTTCGACCAACTGGTTTCTGTCAAACAGGAAGTTTTCAACGACACGAAGATCACGATAACGGGTCTAAACGCCGTGACTACCTATCGATTCCAAGTGTTTGCCGAGAACGGTGTATCCGCATTGGCTGCAAAATCCGAGTACGTGGACATTACCGTCACCACGGAAGCTAGCGTGCCTAGTTTGGTGAGCAACGTCAGGATTACCAGCGTGAAGAGTTCCGAACTGAGCATTAGTTGGGATGCTCCGATCACCGAAGTTGGCGGAGACAGCGATCTGGTCGAAAGATACGAAGGTGGGAATGATCGCTTCACGCTTTCTCCCTGACCCGGTTCCCTTCGGCGATAAATCGATTAACCCGTTACGCGATTTCCTTTCTAGTGAGGTGTTATCCACGCTACGACGACGCTACCAATGCTACGGTCATTCAAACCTCCGATTTATCCGCTACGTTTAAGGGCCTAAAACCATCGACGGACTACGCGATACAAGTACGAGCAAAGACTACGCGAGGTTGGGGTGAATACACACCGATAGTATATAAGAAGACGCCTCACGCTATGGGACTAGGTGATTTTTCACTCGAATTGCAGTCGAACGACAGTTTCTCGATCAGACGGGGCTAACTTCTAACTCTTTCTTTCAGATTACGTCGGCGAAGACGATAATATGCAAGTGAGGATCATAGCCGGAGCTATCGTGGCTGTGGTAGTGCTTTTGGTCATCATCATCATCATGACCGTTCTGATTTTAAGAAGGTAAACAAATTGCTCTTACGATTGAATTCGTGCGTAAATTAAATACGTTAAGTACATTAAGAGCGCTGAAATATTTATCGTACGTATACAACCGTATTTAATTTGACACTATTGATGTGGTATGATTTCGATGCAGCAGGGCCTCGGACGAATGCAACAAGAAACAGCCCAGTGATTGCGATACTCTGGAGTATAGGAACGGCGAAGGTACGTTTGTCCGATGCCGATAGGCTTCGATTCTCTTTTCTTTATAAATCGTTATCGCTACTACTACCCCCTGTCACTTTCATAGTTGTTTCACTACGCCCTCGTGTCTTGTGACTAATATTTTTGGATCACCAACCCCGTTAGATCCAGCAAGTATCGACCCCAGCCCCCTTCATGTATACAGTACCCCATGATAATGTCTTGTCGCTAAACACCCAGTATTTTAGAAGTTTATCTCTCTCTCTCTATCTCTCTCTCTCTAACGAAAGAAAGATCACTGAAAAGTGGTTCGTTGAAAGAAAAGAAAAAGAGGAAAGTAACGTGCGAACAGAAAGTTGTCGAGATCCGAACGACATCAGGCCAGGAAGTAAAAGAATGAGAGACACGGTGGTCGCTTTCGATGCAAAATTCATACCGATCTGGCCCTCAACCTGAGTACCATTATTCTAACCAAATTCTTTCGATTCTTTCTTTTCATGTGCGATTCCCCTAATCTATCGAACCTGCCTCCATGAAAAATCCATGAAAAAACCCAATGAAACAATGTACACAATCGCCTGCTACTACAGGACTAGTTGTGACCTACAGTAAGTCTTCTCCAACACCTCAAGTTTTTTTTTCTAGGAACTCGGTTTTGCGTAGTTACTTTTGCACCCCCTTATACATGCATCTCTTTGACGCGTTCCAAATTTTTTACGCACGGACACGCACCATCTTTCTGGTCGTTTTTCTCTCAAACAGATGCGCGTATCAGCTTTGACGTGTACAAAAGTACGCTCGAAAGATGTGCGTTTACGTGCTTTGTGCTTGCGTCATTCAGTGTATCTACGTTCTGCATGCGAATGTTGTTATAGTGTGTTATCGTTGGCACTGCATTTGTTTGATTTTCGGTATGTTTCATGATTTATTTTTCTTTCCCTTTTGTTTTCGTTTTTTTTCTTTTTTTTTTTTTTTTTTTATATCAATTCATACGTGAAGTTATCGCAGGAGGCGAAGACAAAAGCTGCACGGAGTCCGAGGAAACCAGTCAAACGCGTTCCCTTTTTTTTTTTTTTCAAACTTTTTTCAAGTCGTTGTCTCTACTCGCTTCGCGTCATTAAAACTTGTTCATCGAACACCCTCCGCTTCTTTTTGTTTGCTGTTTGTCAATTAGTGTGTTGGTTGTTGTGTTGTTCACAGTGCACTGCAAAATGGACAGTTCACCGATTGTGACAACCCACACCAACAACAAGAGCAAGTCCTCGCGTAAGTCCTTAATCAGTCCCAATAAAACACGTTCGAAATTGTTCGATACGAAGAAAACGCGAACGACACTCTTTGATCGACAGATTCTTGACAACCTACACTCGCTTAAACTGGAACACAACACATTACCCTTTTCTTATTTTCGCTCGTACCACGATCCGTTCTTTCCCTTTTCGTCTCTATTCACTTTTTATTCTTTCACTTCTCGCTCTCTCTCTCTCTCTCTCTCTCTCTCTCTCTCTCTCTCTCTCTGTCTTTTTCTCTCGTTCTTTCGATCTCTCTTCACCGTTCCCTTAAATTTTACGTAGATAAAAAGCACGAAAAGGAAGCATGAGATTTCTTTACTTTTCTGAACGTTGCCATTGCATCGTGTTCTCGTATCTTTTGCATCGTTCCATTTTTTCAGCCAGTCACCGATCTTTTCCGACCGCCTGTATAACGTTTTGTGCGTCGACGTGCGAGAAATACTGGATGTTTCGGTGGAACTCGAATTAATTTAGCTCACAGAGTAGCGAGCCGTCGCAGATGTATTCACGGATGTAAATTAACAGGCGACGAAGTAATTCGATTCGACCAGAGCATCCTCTGCGCTCCGTACTACGACTAACGTCATTCAATCTGATGCATCGTAATTGAGATCATTTGGCGTATTAGGCATGCGAGAATTTCTACGCTAGCATGAAATTTAGACAACGCGCGATCTTTCCATTTTTGTTATGTATATTTTATTATTTTTTTTTCTCTTTTTTTTCCTCCGTTTCGTTTTATTTTCTTTTTTTTTTTTTTTTTTTTATCTCGTCTTAGATCTTTCTATACATAGTGAAATTAGTAAATGATTTCGCTTCTCCTTTCTTTGATAGTTTCAAACCATTTTTTAAGCTAGTTAGAGAGAACGTTTTTCCAAAGAACAAATATTTTGAAACAAGGCTAGAAAGCTGTAGTACTATGAATTTACGGCTCAGCTTTCTTAATTGCGTTCTCTTTCATTACATTGAATATTCCAAATCTCGTTTAAAAGAGGAAGGGTGTGTGAGTGTTTTCACGGGATGATACGGTTGACAGTCACGGAGCGAATGTTGCTATTCTCGCGCTCCGAGATTCCGTTAAAATTTAACACACCGGCCCTCGTGTTAATATAATGAACTCTGTTTTGGTGACGTTGCAGTGACCACGCCGCTGTTCACACCTGCAGTGGGAGTCGCCGCCGCGAGTGCAGGAGGTGCCGGTGGTGGAGGTGCAAGGAGTTACGTCGATCCTCACACCTACGAGGATCCGAATCAAGCCGTGCGAGAATTCGCCCGAGAGATCGACGCGGGATACATTACGATAGAGGCTATCATAGGTACGATATTCGCGTTTCTCATCGTCAGCTTGAACCCGGTAACGATAACCTTTATCGCGATCTAATTCTTCCTTGTTTCTCGTTGATCGACAGGTGGTGGAGAATTCGGCGACGTTTGCCGCGGAAAATTAAAACTACCGCCCGATGGTCGAACGGAGATCGATGTCGCGATCAAGACTTTGAAACCAGGCTCCGCGGACAAGGCTCGTAACGACTTTCTGACCGAAGCCTCGATCATGGGTCAGTTCGAACATCCGAACGTGATATTCCTGCAAGGTGTAGTGACCAAGAGTAATCCGGTGATGATCATCACGGAGTTCATGGAGAACGGTAGCCTGGACACTTTCCTGCGTGCGAACGATGGCAAGTTCCAGGTGCTTCAGTTGGTAGGCATGCTTCGCGGTATCGCGAGCGGCATGCAATATCTTGCCGAGATGAATTACGTGCACCGAGATCTCGCGGCGAGGAACGTACTCGTGAACGCTGCTCTCGTCTGCAAGATTGCCGATTTCGGTTTAAGCCGTGAGATCGAGAGCGCCACGGAAGGAGCGTACACGACTAGGGTAAGTAATCAGCTCGCAGATGGCGAATTTTTGAGTTTTTTTCCTCGTATTGCTCGTTTTGAATGGCGAGACGCGGTCTCATCGCACGAACCAAAAACTTTCAAATATCGAATCTTGAAAGACTGTTTACTCCGGCAAAAAGGGTGGAAAGATCCCGGTGCGATGGACAGCTCCGGAAGCGATAGCGTTCCGAAAGTTTACCAGCGCTTCCGACGTATGGAGCATGGGCATCGTTTGTTGGGAAGTGATGTCCTACGGCGAGAGACCGTATTGGAACTGGTCTAATCAGGATGTGATAAAGTCGATCGAGAAAGGATACAGGCTTCCAGCTCCGATGGATTGCCCGGAGGCGATCTATCAGCTGATGCTCGATTGCTGGCAAAAGGAACGAACCCATCGTCCTACCTTCGCCAATCTCACTCAAACCTTGGACAAGCTGATACGAAGCCCGGACACGTTGAGGAAAATCGCCCAGAACAGGTAAACGTTTTCATTCTTTCCTCGCGTTCGAGTCTTCCCGCGGTTCGCGTATCTCACTGGCGCGCTATCATTCGCGTTTTCGATCTATCGAGACATTATTCGGAAGGAGAAGTACCGAGAAAACTCGTGTTTCGGACTAACGTAGTACGAACAGTGCAAACCTATCATATCGTTGCTTTCATCGTACGAACAATTCGGTAGGCTCCAGAGAAACGATGATCTGACGCGATACTAGATACTTTGGGAACGCGTTTAGTATCCGGGAGCCTGCATCACCGAATTGTTCCTTCATCATCTCTTAACACGAATCATGCCGCATGCTATGCGAACCACACTTCGTGTCCATAAATTAATTTCTCTCGACAGCCAAAGGTTTTTTCCGTTCTCTCGCTAAATACTATAAGAAGCTCACACGCTCTGCGCTCTTCACGTACGCTATTAGACTGGGCTTTGATGTTGTTGCTCATTCGTAATAGGATGTTACGCATAAACGATGAATATTGGCCGTCCAGGAATAGTAACGATGTGTGTGTGTCTATACCCGACAGAGAGATTCGTGTGCACGTCTGTACTCGAGGCGTCGTCGATACCTCGACCTGATTGGCATTACTGGAACCGGGCATATAGTACTGGACTGGATCTTTTTCGCACTTTTTAGTTCGTGACTTCTGACGTTTTCTTTTCAAAGCTACTTATTGGTTTCTGTCGTTTTTTTTCTTTCTTTTTTTTTTTTTTTTTTTTTTTTTTTTTTTTTTTTTTTTTTTTTTTTTTTTTTTTTTTTTGGCATTTTATTTTTCTTTTTTTCCGTTATGTTTCCCGTAGCTCGAAGTCGTCAAAATTAATTTGTGTACAACGCCTCCGCTTCCTCGCATCTCGTTCTCTCTGAAATTGAACAACGGTAAATTAAAAGAAAGGAAATACCGCGAAATAACGCGATTACGCGAAGGACGATGCACGCGAAAACGACGTAGAAAATGCGCGAAACAAAAATTTCAGTTGGATTTTTCTTGTTTACAGCACATATTTTCAATGAATCTCGACGAGTAGTAATCTCGTTAAGGGGAACGTCCGACGCGCGAGAAAATGTCGTTCGAAAGTTTGCAACGATATAACAAGTGGCTTTGCGCACGTAATTCTGCTCTTAATTAAAACGGCTTAATTTCCTTTGGAACGTGCAAAAAGATCTACTGCTACATTCCGTTTCTGTTTCGTATTACTTGTTGGGAGGAAAATTAATTTATGGACGAAAGTCTCAACGCGATCATTTCCGCGGAATAATATTTCGTTCGCGTTTCAAGAGAACGGCGAAAAGTGCGCATCGTACTGCGGTGGCTTTCAGAGAGCTTTTATCGCTTTAGCGCTTATCGTTTCTGTAATCCTGGAGCCTTTAAACCCTCGTCCTCTTACCTCCACTTATTTCCACCACGAAACACAAAAAAAGGCGAACAAAGGCGAGATCAAACGCGATACTCGAGAGTCGGACGTCCCGTTCCACTTTATCGCTGGACGATCGTTAATGAAGAATACGAAGAAGATGTCTGTGTTACGAGGAGCGTACACAAGGAAAAAGCCGCGAAATTTTTCTCTCAATCCGACGAAAAAGGAACTAGCATCGTAACGGCGATGTATCGCGAAATCGTTCGATCCATTGAAAGATCGCGTCGCGGGACGAATCGATTATCCTCGATTTCGCTATTTCGCTGCCAAACGCCGCTGAAAACGTTTCCGGCCAAGTGGAACGGGCCCTTGGCGTTACCTTCCTTCCTCCTCCTCGTCTTAACCGACGAACGATCCATCGACTGTCGACGATCAACAGCTGCTCGTTTTTGTTCGCTTCGACGTCGATCGATCAACCGCTTACATTTCCATCCTGTCCAAGAAAATTTCAGTTTCTCTTGCCGACGACGTCCCTTTTTTTCTGGGCTAATTCTTTGTGGTTTTGGTTTTGTGGTGTCTTTGGTACCCGACTACGAACTGCAACCCAACGCAACTGCGACAACTACCATCTACCACCAACTACAACTCAACAACTACAACAACAGCGTGAGGCCACCTGCACACAATCCGTACTATGTCACAAGCCACGCGGCTGCCGCACAGGCCGCGGCAGCGACCGCTGCGATTCCAGCCGCGACAACGGGTCCGTTCGTAGACGTAGTCGGCCATCAGGCCCATCAAGCCCAGTCGACGATTGCCGTTCCAGTAATGCCACCAGGAGCCGGCCGTAGCTTACACTATCACACACACGCAGCGACACACGCATTGCCACAACAGCCACCGCTTACCTACCCCAATTGGGTCCCGTTCACACACTTTAGTTAATCGGCGAATCGATCGTTTTTCTATTTCCGAGACAAGTGCTTCCCGCTGTCCTTTCATACTTTCACGAGAGTCTAGGTACGTCTAGGAACGTTTAGGAACCAAGAGATTTCTCGCAAAATCTCTACTCGTTTTCGCTCGTCTAGATACCGAACGAGCCCCCCCGTAGATAGACGATAGGCTTCCAAGAACTGATTCGCTGATTCGACCACCAATTAATCAGACTAGTTAACAAAGGATTCTTTACGTTCAATTTTTTCCTCGTAGTACTTTCCATCTAATGTCGAACATTTGAACGCGGTCGTTGTTTCGTCTCGGACGAAACGAACTGTGCGAGAAGTCGGAGCAAGATTTCAAAGATTTAGCAAGGTGAAGAATCTCTCGTCTTCGTTTCTATCCGTATCGTAATTTCTGTAGAAACGGAGATTAAACTTTTTGCGCGTCTCGTCTTGTTGACGGGCTGGTATATCTAGTTTTTCCCGTCCGTCGACGTACGGCGAGGAAATAATTTCGTACGTGCCGTTTTGGCCTAACGTCGCACGATCAAATTTCGCAGGGTCATTTTCTCCTTGAACGGAATAATCGCGGTAGATCGTTTTCACGTGCGTTTCTCTAGGGAATCGCACTCTCGTCGAATAAAATTTAGGTCGTCGATCGATTCCGTTGCAAGGATATTTAGATGTACGTGAAACGGTAGCGAATTAGTCGTCGTAGAGAAAAGTTTTTCACGGTTTCCAATTATACGATTAATTATATATATATATACTTATATTTATGTATATTTATATATATATATATAGTTATTTAAAGTGCAAAGTGTTTTTTATTCTAATGTTCGAGCGAGTGCCAGTCGCGGTAAATTTTATCGATCTTTGCTGCCACGTAGGAGTCATATAGAGAATATTTATGGTTCTAGTTAAAGGGATTTAAATGGAAAATTTTATGAGAAGGTTGCTCTAATTATATGATGCGTGTGTACACTCCAGTTTTTTCGTAGAGACGATGAGAATTTATAGAGGACGAATCGAACCAACGAATAGCAATATAGAATGAACTTAAGCTCCAAGCTTAGGATGACGGAGGGTTTTAATCGCGAGACGCGTTGTCATAGTCTTTCAGATGTTTTTCTAATTCTTGATATACGTAATGTATATATATATCTCACACGAGTATACGTACACATATATATTATAAAAAGCGGATATATATATATATACATATATATTTATCGATATAGTATTTATTAACGTCACCTCTCTACTGCAACAAAACTGCAAAGACTTATTAGCATTTAATCGTGCGAACTACCATTCGACCAGATTAGAATAGTATTTTTCTACTTGAATCGGAAGAAAAGTCGGAAAACCGTACAGAGGAACCGTACGCGATTATGCCAGGCTGTTTTCACACCAGGCAATCGATTCGCGACCACACGTGTAGCACCTATACGTTATAGCAAAAAATCTCAGTAAGTCGATCATAGAGGAATGCGTCGCGACACACCATTACAGGAAAAATGATCGAACGGAACGAGAGAAGGATCAGGCTTGCGACGCTCCTTCCAAGTGACGGATTCGGCAACGATTTTCTTCTCCGATCGATCCGTCACGAGAGACGAGAATCAAAACGGACAATCAACTTAGATGCGTTACGGCCGCGGAAATCGAATCGATGCGCGCTAATTACCTTAGAGTTTACGCCGACAATCGCGATAAACGAGCTTCGCACAAGCACATGATCACACTTGCACAAACATACCACACACTCGAGAGAAATCAGGGCAAATGAGATGAGAAAATGTATGCGATACACAGAGACACACACACACAGGCACCATACATACAGGCACACGCAAGCACACGCCAAAAGTGTGTGACCTCCATCGCACTAACAAATGCTAACAATTGTCAGAATCAGGGAAAGGGGTGCTCCCCCCCCCCCCCCACCCGCCTCGTCGACATCCTCCAACGTGCATTTGAGGAAAAGGTAAAAAATCAAGAACAGCTTTCAGTCGACCAAAAAAATAAAGAAAGTACGAAGCTAGCGTGGAGCAATAAGGCGAGACAAAATTTTTCCTCCCCTCGAGATGCCTCGATCAAAATCTAGGCAACGCGCGAACGTTGCTTGTCCCTTCTTGCTCCATACGCTTCGTTCCAATCACCATATGAGTATTGCTGCCACGTAGACAGCATTTGCTCTGCTTGTACCCTATTAGTTCGTATCGCACTGCTTGCTTCATACGCACCATTATCCATTCACATCTACGTAATACGTCCAGCTGATCTCTCAACTTTGTCTGTATATCGTCAACGTAATCACACCGTCATAGTACTGTCATTACCGCCATTAGCAACTCTCACTGTCATGTCACCATCGATCACCATCACTAGCAACGGACCCACGAAGGCTCGAATTTTCACCGTCTCGCCTGTGTACTCTTTACTTTTACCGTCTTTCATTCACACCTTCCGCGAATTTACAGCGAATGTTTGCTTCTCGCATCGTCTACCGTGAGCAGGTCGATACGATGCGAATCGTGTAAAGAATTCAGGCGCGGTCGTGAAAAGTTATCGAGCCTCGGTCAAAGTGTACATAAAGATATTTTACCGACCCCTCTCTAAGATCCGTTTTATACCGTATCTACCCGTAAATCCGTCCGTAAAAGTCTATTAAGTAAATGACACCAATGGAATAACTTCTCCTAGAAACGAGTAGTAAACCATCGAAACTCGACTCTGACTTACACGTACAAACACACACGCGCACATACATACGTACACACACTATTTGACCCTAACCAGTCACCTGTCTGTTCCGAATTTTCATCTTTGCTCGCGGAACGTATTTTACGTCCGTTCAACTGCGCAACGTAGACGTTGATTTTACATGGGAATGATTATTTACGCATAGAATCGCTAAGATAAGTACAATATTCCGCGAGCACAAAACTTGGAACATTTGTGTACCTATGTTCTTGCCAACTAATGGATATTAGTGTACATATACTTGATATATAGCTCCCGTTCGTGTAAACAAATTTAGGGTTGTGTACAAGTGTGTAGTCGTTTCGATAATCAAAGTTAAAACGCGATCATCGAAGCGACTGATCCCCCCTCACTAGAGATACTTTTAACGATAGAATCCGAAATGAACTTGCCATTGCTCTTTACATTTCGGATGTGGAAAAACGGAAGTGCTCTCGCCCCCCCCCCCCCCCCCCTCTTTCTCTCTCTCTCTCTCTCTCTCTCTCTCTCTCTTTCTCTCATCATCTCGTATCGAGCAAAGGAGACTAAACGACAGATTTCTGGTCCTCCTTTGAAGCGCTTGCGTTTTTCCGCTCTGTCTTTAGATCCAATCAACGACCTGTAGAGGCTCGAATGAATTTTTCAGGTCTTTGGTTTCGCATAGTGTTCCCCCCTCGATCCCTCGAAAATGAAGGGAAAAGGAGCGAATGGAAAGTGGTCTAATACGAAATTTCCGACAGGGGCACCAATCCACTGGCGCCGGACGCGGTGGACTTAACGCAGCTGACTTCGGTCAGCGAGTGGCTGGCTTCCATCAAGATGTCACGGTACGCGGAGAGTTTCGAGAGATCCGGAGTAACTACCTTGGAGGCGGCTGCACGAGTTACCGTTCAAGAGTTGACGGCGCTCGGTGTGACGTTGGTCGGGCACCAGAAGAAGATCATGAACAGCGTGACGGCGCTCAGAGCGCAAATGTCCGCCACTTCGCAAGGTTTCCTCGTTTAATCGCGTGCACGGTCGGTGCGTTTCTCGCAGAACCATTTCACGCGTTAACCTTGCGACCGGCGCTGATCTCTCGATATATCACATCGACTAAACGCATCGTTCGTTAGAGAAGCTTGCACGTCGATCGCCCTACGGCTAAAGTTCTATCGAGGCACTAGACGATTCAAACGGCATCATCCTAGTCAGGGCGATAGACATTTTCTTTCGAGAAAATACCCCTTCCTTCGCGAACACCAAGGCCAACAGCGATCGAGCGAGCATTGAGAGGAGCCGAAAGAGCTCCGCCAGTCTCCAAGAATCGAGGAACCGCATATCGCAGACATTCCATAGCGCAGAAAAACTCGAGATTTATTCGAGTACCATCCTCCATCCTCGACAGATGGAGGAAGAAGACGACTCATCGAACATGTAGCTTAACGGAAGTAACGCGAATCTTCTTTGCGCGATAATCGCATCGAATCGAAGAAGCTCGCGACGGGATCAATACGTAAAGATAGATCGCTAACTCCATGAACGGAGTCGCGGCCATTGACTTTGTCTTTTTCTTCCTATAAAATCTTTCTCGAGCGCAGTTGATCTCGCGGATCATCGCGTCGAAAGGTATCGAACTGCCACTGTATAATCACTGCCGTATCAAATTTACACGTACAAAACCTTGTGCGACGAGCCAACGAACGGCATTATCCTATCTTAAACCCCGAACCTCTTAACCCTGCTCACCGTCGAGACTGTCTGACGCACTGAATCGTTGCTCACACGTACACACAGGAACCGTCTTGCCAGATTTTTACTTTTCTCTCTTGTTTTCCCATCCAAACACCCATTGTTAACGAACGAAGCCATTCTTGTTTTACAGTGTTCCTAACTTATCTTACGCGGCGGTACTCATTACGTCAAACGGTGATCGGGTCCTTCAACGATTAATATAATACTCTCAAGTGTGTCTACGGTACAGACCAATTGCACGAACAAATAGACGGCCTAAAAGTATTAACGACCCCATAGGTTGTCCCTGGCTTCCTCGTTCTATGCGAAAGTCTTCGAACAACGATTGGGCGTATGAAGCCAAAACGAAGATTCGTCGAGTGGTCTAATATTATGTTTTAAGGTAATAACGAGCATAGATCGAGGAAGTAATCGAGGACAGCGTGTCTTCATTGCGAGCCTAACGCCGCATTTTACGTCCCGTGCAGCGAATATTTTGTAGCTCTTATTAATAAAGCTTAATCGATGTACAAACACACACACGATTTACACACTACACAACGCAACATCGGATACACATGTAGATATACAAATATGAAAACGTTGCCGCTCCGCTCCGCTTTTGCGAAACGATCGAAGGAGCGACAGGTAATTAATACTGGTGAGACTGAAAGCAAGATCATTCGAAATTACACTAGATGTTAATATGCGACGATGAAACAAAGATTAAAAGAGAAAGAGGGATATACGATTCTTGCCTTCGCGTTACCTATATAAGTGTATTGTATATGCGATCCGTATAGGTACCTGTCGATAAAAAGGAAAAAAGAACGAATAAAGAAGCAGGAACATGTGCCAATAATGCGAGAACAGAGAGAAAGTGTGCGTGAACGAGGGAAAATGTGCGTGAGAGAGGCAGAATGGCGCACACGCTATCGCGCGGTCGTCGATTGCATAGAAAAAAAAAAAAAGAAAAATGGATCCCTATCTATACGTATTAAAAGAGAGATAGATTATATCGTGCATGATACGAGACAGATTTATCAGGAATGATCGTGAGGCCAACGAACGAATGTTCGAAGAATAGAACAAATATACCGAGGAAATCGTAAAACGTGTCCCTCGACATCGTGAACATATCAAGGCGTATTTAGAAAAAGAAATAGAAAAAAGCAAAAAAAAAAAAAAAAAAAAAAGAATAATATGGGAAAAGAACGAAACGAGAGCAACGAGGGGCTCGAGACGAGCTCGAGATTGTATAAGGCGCGACCAGGTGAATTTCGCGAGGCAACGACGAGTGAAAAATTTTGCGTGACGGTGGTTATCTAGAAACTAGATACTCCTCGGTTTTCGCGACGACACGACGACATGGTATGGTTTCGCGAGACGCGAAAGCGGACAAGCAGAGAATGTTAGCGATCGCCTCTAAGTAGTAGATTTACTTTTCAACGAGTGGTTCGAATTGTTTCGCATCGCAAACGCAACGTCCACACCCCAGCGTGCACGCGTAGCGACTATGATATTAGGTTGGTTAGAGGGAAGAAAAGCTTGTTTCGTCGCGATGGATGGTCTGTATCTTGTTACATCCACGTTCGCTGATTGTAAAGACTGCTTCCCAGGCACACCACGATCCGGGAGACGCCCAAAGTCTATCGGTTGACGAGCGACTCGAACGCTTCCAAGCGCAAGTTGGGCGAGCCACGGGAAATTTTTATTCTTAATTTAACGAATTACGCTAGAGATATAGTTGACATGGCTCGACGCCACGATGGACGACAGGTAATAAGGACGAGAAAGTCCCCCAACAGTCGATATTCGTCGCGCGTACAGTTCGATCCGACGTAGCAAAGGAAAAATGGAGAAATGTTCGTTTTTTGGGTCGATCCAACGGTGCGTCGGGCCTCTCGATTAGAAGAATCTTACACGAGATCGTTCCGTTTGCATTCGAAAAATGCGAAGGAAGATCCTGGAGACTTTTGTCGTTTCGACCAGCATCGTTCCGTATGAAACGAGACGGAACGTCGCGTGGTAAAACGCGTGGTCTCTGTTAGGGGAGGAAGAGAAGGGTAAGCTACTGAAAATGGCGACGATTAAGAAGCAATAAGTGAATACACGCAAATGCAGATTTTTATATAGAGAATGTTAAAAAATTTCAGAAAATATTAATTATCGATAGCGCTATCTTCCTAAATGTTCGTATTAAAAGTTAACGAGAAGTAAGGTAAAACGTAAGGGTGACGAAGTCACATGGAGTCCCAACCGAACAGCACAATATCGAGAGAGATCGAACAAAAGTCGAGCATAACGATACGGTATCGCACCGCGGCGTAAATCAAGTTTTGCCCGAGATGAAAACGGAACCGATAAAGGGGTGGAAATTTCGGCCGGGACTCTGCCAGAGGAAAAAGAAATGAAGTTTTAAAGAACTTTCTGCTGTAACTATTTGTGTCTAGCGACGAACCTGCGAGTGCGACCTGAAGTTTTGAGAATGTCGATAGTTTCAGTGAATTAATATTTAGATTTCATAGATCTCTATCGATATTACACGATCGTAGACACGAAACGAGCAGATGATAATTAGTTAGAGCGTAAAAGATATCTTATTAGAGACCTTTTTGATTTCACTTCAGTCTTTCGCGTTCGAACGCCTAGAACTGTCTCTTTTTCTCGAGTAATCGCCTTTGTTCTTCTTCTTTTTCTTCGTAATCATCATCTTTCCCTTCTTTTTCTTCTTTTTCCTCCCTTGTTTCTCCTTCTTTTCGTCTAATGTCATGACGTCTGCCTACACTTTCAAAGCTTTCGATCGTACTTCACGTCCATGTATTTTCATTCTTCCTCTCGTTATCTTCGTTTTCCTCTTCTCTCCATCCTTCTGTTACTATCTTTATCTTTATCTTTATCTTTATCTTTCTCTATTTCCCTCTTCCCGGTCTTAATACGCGAAGCGCTTTTATTTTGTAAGAGTCGAGAATCCAAGATGCGAAAATGCCGAGAGAAGGAAGAGCGATAGGAAAAATAATTGCGTAATCTGAATCAAAATTCTCTCCGATTCACGCGAACTAACTTTAATTGCTTTTCTTCCTATCGTTTTCCTTTTTATCCATCTTCTTTTTATTATTAGTTACGATTTTTTTTTTCTTTAAGTAATCATTATTCTTTCTATCGAGGAAACGCAGCGATGAGTAAACGACTAGAAAATCGTTGAAGATATCCTCCTCAGACACTCTTTTACTTAAATACCTTTACTCGATTAACACTTCTGTACTACTATTTATTAAAAGCAAAGAAAGCCTTATTTATTGTTTAGAGATCTGACTAAATTAAAAAAAAGGATGTTCTAATCGTGGTAGGTTATCTATTTACCTTACTAGAATCGCACGAAAGGGGACGAAAGAAAGAAAGAAAAAAAAAAATAAATCATTATTTCCTTACTTCAGAGTTTTCGAAAAACTCTCACGCCGTGTAAAAAGAGACGAAAGAATAAAAAAAAAAGAAAAAAATTAAAAAAAAAAGAGAAAGAAAACATCATGATCGTCGAGTCTCTAAGCAGTTATGTTATCGATTAGTTAAGCGGTTTTTTTTTCTTTTTTAAGCAACCTACGTGCACGTTGCTTAATTCTCTTTCCATTCTTCCCTTTTTTTTTTTTTTCTTTATTACTTTTTTAACAGTCTGTTTACAGCGAACTTTGTCAAAGTACCTGCTTCGGAAACGAAAAGCAAACAAAAAATAAAAGAAAAGAAAGAAAAACATATATTAAATTCGCGAGAAGACAAAGCACACAGGTACCGTCCCGTATATAATATAAATAGCTCATCTACTATCACGTACACGCATCATAATTTATGTATACTCATCGAACTGAGTTTTTACACAATTGGTTCAGCGAATCACCATCGTGTGTCCTCGATTCATTGTATAAAACAAAGCGACAAAGCGCGACAGATGCAATAAGAAAGTTAATGTCGACAAATTTTGGAATGTGTCTAAAAACATTTTTCCTATGGTGTTGTCAAGACGATGTTGAATGTAAATAAGATATAATAAATAATATACCTTATACGATGTAAAAAGCTAGTCTTTATTATTTAAATACGTGTCACATTTTTCCTTCATACAATTCTTCACTTTTTTCCATTTCATGCTTTCATGTATCTCTTCAATAAAACATTTTGCTTCCACGCAATCATACACAATATATTCCACTCCCTTACCAAATTTACATTTCTTTTCATTATTCTCTAACCAATATCTGCTACATAAATCAATATTTTTGTACCTCAAATTAACCACAACGTGCAAATTCCTATCTTTTATCTCATTCCTTAAATAAAATAATAATCTATTTGGAACATATTTCTTATATTTGCCATTGTAACTGCTTTCCCTTATTTTACCCTATCCTTTCTTTTTTTAACTTTTTTTTACAGTGCTCTAACCTAGTCTATCAAGAAATGTTATCCTTTTCCTGCTAAATAACTCCACCTAACTCCACATCCTTTCCATCTTACATATTTTAACACATTGTTGACCAGTCACGAATTAGCTGGTATTTATGTTTACATTAACTATTTCAATATTTGAAATACATGGCAATATTGAATAATGTTCTATTGTGAAACAAAGGCAAATCTAATGGACACTGTTCCGGATGATATAAACAAACCTACGTGCATAATAGAATAGAAACACATAAAAGGAGTCAATCATGCAAACCAGTATTTGGCGAACAGCAGTATCTTTCGAAAAAATATAAAGTGTACTAAAAAAGCATCATTCTTTTTTATCAATTATACTTTGTTTAATGCATTCAAAATTGACTCTAACTACAAGTCACAAAATAAACTAAGACACAAAAAATTAGCTAGGGAATGAATAACTATATGGAATGCAACACAGTACTTGACACTTCGTCTCATACTTCTAAAAGGATGTTTTATAATAATTCACTTTTGAAACCCTCAGGTTAACTAAAAGACTACATTCTAAAAAAAATAATTACTAGCAAAAAAAGAAATCCAACTAGAACATGTAGAGTATGCTTTTCAAAAGGTTAGTACAGTGAAACAAGATATATTTGCAAAACCTGTTATGTATCAATACATATAAGTAACTACAATACAGTTTATCATACCAAAAAAAAATATTAAAAGCTATATAAAAGATATGTCCAAAGTTTCATTTAAATTCATTACGTATAAATAAAGTTTATTGAAATTTATTTAGATTGTCTCAATACCACGTTCAATCACAAAATAATAAGTAGTGACATAAGATGCCTTCTGTGTAAAATTACTGGTCAACAATATGTTAACACATCCATCCTGTTGCAATCCGCAGATTTTTCCTTCATAAGATATTTCTGTTTAATAAATCTCTGTCTGATATTACATAGCACTTTATGTATGGGTTACTTTTTCTCTGTCCTACTTGGTTTTAAAGTGTTGCAGTTCCATTAAATCAACATTATTTTTAATAAAATTTTACAAAGTTACATATTTACATGTGTAATATTTCTTAAGCTAATGTGATATTTTGTAAAATATTCTCACGTTTTGTTCAAGCACTCTTCACATTTTCTCAGAACTATATCTATTTCATTACATTCTCATAATAGATTCAACAGACAGATAGTATTACGACCAATGGAAACAATAAAAAAACCCATTACACATAAAAATGAAAAACTAACACAGCTTAATAAAAATTCAAGCAAAAACATAAATTTACGTGACCCATCTTAGGAAGTCAGAATGGTAAAACATAAATTTAGATTGTCCGTACATAAAGTGTCAATGCTTCTCTCTTCTTAACCGCTATCACCATTTCACTTTTCCTCCCTTCTTCAATATTTGCTGAAATGTCTAAAAAAATTGTTAGACATTTGTTTACCCAAATCTTTAACGTCATCTTTTAAAATAACTATCCCTTAAATCACAAGCTATAAGGATCTTGTATTCTGTTCCTTAACAGCCTACTTCTTTTCTAACTTTTCCATCTTCTTGTCAATACTCACTTCCCAAGGGTTCAAATCAAAGATAATTAAAATTAAAGATAAATTTCTCAATTTGTGATCTTTCCTACCTTATTTTTATTAATTCCTCGATCAATTTTTCCATTGAAGTACTGAATTCCTTCCTTTCTAATTCCTCTCTTATTCACTCCACTGTCCTCGTAAAACTCACCTTTTTCATCTAATTTTCATTGTCTGTCCTGTCCTTTCTCCTTATCTTTCCTTTTTCCTTTATTCCTATCTTCAATACTCGGAAATTTATTTTTTCTTTCTTCTATAATCACTAAATCTCTCACATCTAACCTCGCTTTCGACATGCCACCACGTTTTCTCACTATGTACTCGTAACCTCAAAATTCGATTGCTTACAAACCTTAATAAAACTCTTTGTTCTTACGTTTCCCTACCTTCACCTATTATCGTTACGCATTGCAAATTCTTATTGCTCTAAATATACCTCCTTATATTATACTTTTTGCTAAAAAGACTTATATTTCAACGCAAATTACATTTTATCACACACCCTTGCATTCACACGTGCACATGCTCTAACCAAATTCCATCTTCCGTTAACTAGTTCTTCTAGTATATTTTTAGTCCATGGAGAAATATTTCCACCATTCAGCACTAGAGTGCATTTCAGTTTCGCGCCTCGTTATTACGCATGCGTACAATAAAATTCTTCTGATATAGTTGCTTCCTTTTCCGTTTGACTTTACGAAAGGTTTGTTTGAATTTTGTACTATATTTGATTATCTAAATTATTCGAATTAATCCTTTAAGTTGGAGATACTTTTGTAATTGCTCGACAGTCTACAGTCTTTGACAATATAGTTTATTCTAATATAAACGAACTTTTCTGCTAAGAAACAAGTTTATATTTCAGAAGCAAAATGGTACAACGACTAACCTATCGACGGCGATTGTCATACAACACAAAAAGTAACAGGAGACGTGTGTAAGTACGTTTTCGTAAAGGTAATAGTAAAACGTTTTGCATTTAATATATCACTTTTCTAAATTTGTAAAATAAAAAACAAATGTGGAACTTTTAAATACATAAACCTTTAACCATTGTAGGTTATGTTTTGGTTTACTTTTCGTACACACGTGAAATCCGCATGTTTTTGTTATTTAAAATCATTTTGCCATACAATTTGATTCAGCATAGAGTGATATATTATTTCAATTGTTTATCTAGTTGATTAACTTATTAGAAAGGTTATTTACTTTACCATTGAACTGTCAATTTGATAATGACGTTGTAAATTTACAGAGTTCGTACTCCTGGTGGAAAATTAGTATATCAATACCTTAAGAAACCCAAGAAGATCCCCAGATGTGGTCAGTGCAAAGACAAATTGAGAGGTATTCAACCAGCTAGACCTATGGAAAGATCACGAATGTGTAGACGTAAAAAGACTGTAAAACGAGTATATGGTGGTGTTCTCTGTCACAAATGTGTCAAAGAAAGGTATTTTCTTATTTCTTTCATTCTTATAATTAAGTCATATCAAAAGTCTATTATTTTTGTGGATTTTTGTTTATAGGATTGTTCGTGCTTTCCTCATCGAAGAACAGAAGATTGTTATAAAGGTGATGAAAACTCATGCGTTTGCAAAGTTGAAAAAAACAGGAAAATAATCGTTTCCTTTTTATTAATTAAATAAAATATATTTAAAAACACAATGTGGAGGAAGTTATTTTTTTATATTTATAACAATTATTTTAATACAATAACTACTATTCATTCTATATCTCCAAAGTTTAACAAAAATTTGTATAATTACAAATAGATTGCAAATATGCTAAAATATAGTACTTTACTTAACATTATTTTTCAAAGATAAATCTTTGAAAAACAATACCAATTACCACATCTCACCATGTTAAAATGGTTACGTATTGAGACCCTGTGGTCTTTACATAACTAGGAATTATTTATACAAAAACAACAAAAAATTACTATCATTAGCGATTTCATAATTTTAATAATTTAAAAATTTTTTGCAAATTATAATTACGTTTATGTTCTCATAGTATAAGTTACCATGGTACATCAATGTTAAAGTATTCTTATCTTTTAAAAGTGAGAATATATGTACAGTACAAAAATCAGGTTAAACAGAAATCATCAATTAGGAATAACTATAATACATATAAAAAATTGTACATACTGCAGTTGATTATAATGATGGGAAATTAACGATTATCCTATAAATAAAAGTCTAGGTTTATGATTACTGCATTGTTTCGATTCCATGCAAAAGGAATTATATCAATGCGATATTAACTTTGGTACTTACGTATTATAAAGTGTGTATTTTGATATGTGAATTTTAAATTATATACTTACAATACATCCCTTAATTCATCTTAATTTAGATATTACTTCAACAAATATTGCCCACTGTCTATTTTCAAAGTTTAAAGGCAACATTGAAAATTTACAAGAGATGGGACATACCTTACACTTGGTGCGTAGCTCTTAACTTGGAATTATTTTCCAAAGATTTCTCTTTAGAATATAATTCCAATTACCAAGTCTCGTCACGAGGAGGTGGCTACGCATCGAGACCCAGACATGCGCCCTAGTGACGCAACCTACTGGTGCTATGTGTATTAAAGACATCCTAATCTAACTTGGAGCGAAAGAAATTAAAGTAAATCTACTGACACTTTCTTACATTTCGTGTCATACAAAGGGTACTTCGACTCGGTATACTAGAACTCTACTATCGCAACGCTAATATTTCCAAGTTCTCATAAAAATAGGGAATGAAATATGAAAAACGCGAGCAAGTTAAATATCACGACGCGCCGGAACGAGTTCGCGATTATTCGAAAGACCGACTAGCCTACGAGACGTACTCTCGTGTACAAGACAACTTCATGCCTCGGCACCCTCCCGATCGAACCTAGTCCATCCAGCCACCACAGACCCTGCCATGACTTTCTCGTGAACGAGAGTGATCGACGAACCAGCGAAACATCCAAAATCAAACCGAGGGTCCCTAGCAAGGCCCTGTAGCCGGTCACGCAGGCTCCTGCCACATGGGGGAGAAATTAATCATCTCATGGGGTCTGACCGCAAGCCCATATGCAATGTCCGGCTACAGGACCCATACCCCGGTCGTGCACGCGCTGGTGCCAAGGACGACTAGGGCCGACAGACCCTCGGATTGATCTCAGATGAGTGCCAGCCCGCCGACTACCCTAGAACCGATGCATGACAAGGGTGGCAGTGGCGAGGATGAGTGTCGGAACGAGTTGTTTGGATGACTTACGAAACATGGAATTATCGAGTACACGAGAGTACGTCACGCAGACTAGTCGGTACTTAAGAACAATCGCGATTATCGCGAAAATAATCATGTTCTATTTGGTAAACGAGAGGGACAAGAGGAGAAAAATAACGAATTTATATATTTCGCTCCAAGTTACGTAGTTTACCTTTATACAGATAGCGCGCACATGAAACTTAGCCTAGGGCTCTATCTTATGACTACTTAGATCTACTTAGTTCTAAATGCATCCCGCGTCATCCATCAATGTGTTCCAAATGAAGTTTCGAGGAAACTTGAAAATTTTGAGAAACCTAAAAGCTAAAACAGAATATATTATTGTTAATATAAACCTGAGAGGAAACGGGTTAGTACGAGCAAAGAAAACGAACAAATAGAAACCATGAAGGTTAACCAAGTGAAAAGAGCAAGCCACTGATGAGACAGAAACAACCCAACGACGAGACATTCGAATATTATACGAAATATTCGAATTCTCAAATAAAAATAAATAGGAATAATAACATAACATCTGAAAGTCGAAAAAATAATTAATACCTAAAAAAAAAAAATAATTAAATCCTGAAAGAAAAATATAATTAACTCTTGAAAACAAAAAGAAATTGTTAGTAAATTATTTAAGGGGATTAGGGTGGACCATCCCAATCCCCCTTTGGAGACGAGTAACCCAACGATGAGACATCCGAATATTATACGAAATATTAAAATTGTCAAATAAAAATAAATAGAAACGAAAAAATAGAAGCTGAAAGTCGAAAAAATAATTAATATCTGAAAAAAGAAGAAAAATTAAAACCTGAAAGAAAAAAATAATTAATACCTGAAAACAAAATAAAAATTATTAGTAAATTGTTTAATGGGGTGGGGTGAGAGTGGGGTGGCTAGCCCCAACCTTATTATGGACCCTTACCCCTTCCGCACTACAAAAATTTAGATGTTCAACTTCCGAAGTCGAACTGACAACTAAGTCTTGGTTCGTCGCGTCGCCCTTTATATAGCCACCGATCGGTCGAGCTCCCCACCACGATTAGAAATTTTTGAACTTCATCGATCCATTAATTTTTATTTCTCCGTGTTAATAACCAATAATTTATTAATTTTTTCATTTTTATTATAAGTTTACATTCTGGACAATTTGTTATTAACAAAATTAATTTGTTATTAACAATCAGTGTAATAATTTATAAACTTTTTTAAAATTATAAATACATTTTAACATAAATTCGTTATTAATTTAGTTAATAGCCAATGATTTGTTAATTTTTTCACATTTATTATAAATTTACGTTATAAACAATTTCTTATTAACTATATTAATTTGTTATTAAAAATCAGTGTAATAATTTATAAACTTTTTGTAAATTATAGAAATATTTTAATACAAATATGGTATAAGTTCGAGTAATGGTCAATGATTTATTAATTTCTCGTTAATTAATTAATTATTAGTAATTATTGCACGGGGTGTTCGAAAAGTTGCCGAAAATACTAATGATTTATCATTAATTACTATCTTCAATACAATTAATTTGTGACTTTCATGCACACATTAGAGAAACAATGTTCTTGAGCATCTTCTCGTACCGTTTTTGATCACATTTTACTTTTCGTTTAGTTCATAATTAAATATTTTTACCGACAACCATGCTCGTCGTTGTTATCAAATCACGCACGCTTTCAAATAATTATTAATAACTAACTAATTCGCATCATATTATGTGCGAAAATTACATAAGAATGTTGTTCAAAGTTTCAGCTTTACGATGCAACTACAAAAGTTCATGAATTAAGTACAGAAACTTGGAAATTTGTGATTTTTCACTGTCATATCCTCTCTATCCCTTTCTAACCGCTTGCCGTCCTTGTTTATCATGTGATGAGGTTTAGACGACCTCCTCGTGCATTCTATATTCCTGTTATTTTCGTGAGCTTTCGGTCCAAAATCATAAATGGCGCTGATCGCAGTCGAAGAATCGAAAACCGCGTTGGACGGGAGAAACAAGACAATAAAACGACATAAATAAGTATAACACATTTTCCTCCCTTCTTTTTATTCCCTTAACACCCCATAAAGCTCTTTACATTCTTTAACAAATTTGGGCCACTTTAGTTAGACAATCAGCATTCGTTTCTTTATCTGGCACGTGACAAATTTGCAAGTTCTTAGTTTTTACTACATCTCTTATGTAACAACATTTCTCTATGTAAGAGTTTAGATTTAATTTTCTATATTTAACACTTAATTTTCTACATAACAGGATAGGTGATGATAAAAAGTAACAACACGAATTCTTGCTAGGATAGAAAGGAAAAGGTGTTAATTTACAAAGTCAAAGTACAATTATATAAAAATAAAACATAATGTCGTTTATTGATTACAAATGATCACGTAATACAGAATGCACGATATTAGAGACAGTCCTTTAATTGTAGCACAATTTTTATATAATCGCGGTATGAAATTCCTGAAATTTACGACAAACATACCGATTGTTGTATTAAAAAATATCTGTTAATATGTACAACGCATACGATTTTATATTTTCAAGAGAAAAATAACGTATTTGATCTTTGCATGAAAAAAACGACGTACAAACTGGATTGACTATTTTGTCCTAAGTTTTTCACATTTTTGTCGTACCACACACACCTGAACATTCACTTGTTTCAACAATCATCGCAACCAATATATACAATAAAAATACATACATATTCGTGCACGATATGATTTGAAAATTCTTCGATCACTCGGCCTGGAGGCAGTAATTCGCTGCATTTCCATTTCTGTTATAATCTTGACAGCAATAAATGCAAAAATTACAGGAATTCTTAAGTACAAAATTAGCGAGCATATCTACATAAAATTATAAATACATTTTAACATAAATTCGTTATTAATTTAGTTAATAGCCAATGATTTGTTAATTTTTTCACATTTATTATAAATTTACGTTATAAACAATTTCTTATTAACTATATTAATTTGTTATTAAAAATCAGTGTAATAATTTATAAACTTTTTGTAAATTATAGAAATATTTTAATACAAATATGGTATAAGTTCGAGTAATGGTCAATGATTTATTAATTTCTCGTTAATTAATTAATTATTAGTAATTATTGCACGGGGTGTTCGAAAAGTTGCCGAAAATACTAATGATTTATCATTAATTACTATCTTCAATACAATTAATTTGTGACTTTCATGCACACATTAGAGAAACAATGTTCTTGAGCATCTTCTCGTACCGTTTTTGATCACATTTTACTTTTCGTTTAGTTCATAATTAAATATTTTTACCGACAACCATGCTCGTCGTTGTTATCAAATCACGCACGCTTTCAAATAATTATTAATAACTAACTAATTCGCATCATATTATGTGCGAAAATTACATAAGAATGTTGTTCAAAGTTTCAGCTTTACGATGCAACTACAAAAGTTCATGAATTAAGTACAGAAACTTGGAAATTTGTGATTTTTCACTGTCATATCCTCTCTATCCCTTTCTAACCGCTTGCCGTCCTTGTTTATCATGTGATGAGGTTTAGACGACCTCCTCGTGCATTCTATATTCCTGTTATTTTCGTGAGCTTTCGGTCCAAAATCATAAATGGCGCTGATCGCAGTCGAAGAATCGAAAACCGCGTTGGACGGGAGAAACAAGACAATAAAACGACATAAATAAGTATAACACATTTTCCTCCCTTCTTTTTATTCCCTTAACACCCCATAAAGCTCTTTACATTCTTTAACAAATTTGGGCCACTTTAGTTAGACAATCAGCATTCGTTTCTTTATCTGGCACGTGACAAATTTGCAAGTTCTTAGTTTTTACTACATCTCTTATGTAACAACATTTCTCTATGTAAGAGTTTAGATTTAATTTTCTATATTTAACACTTAATTTTCTACATAACAGGATAGGTGATGATAAAAAGTAACAACACGAATTCTTGCTAGGATAGAAAGGAAAAGGTGTTAATTTACAAAGTCAAAGTACAATTATATAAAAATAAAACATAATGTCGTTTATTGATTACAAATGATCACGTAATACAGAATGCACGATATTAGAGACAGTCCTTTAATTGTAGCACAATTTTTATATAATCGCGGTATGAAATTCCTGAAATTTACGACAAACATACCGATTGTTGTATTAAAAAATATCTGTTAATATGTACAACGCATACGATTTTATATTTTCAAGAGAAAAATAACGTATTTGATCTTTGCATGAAAAAAACGACGTACAAACTGGATTGACTATTTTGTCCTAAGTTTTTCACATTTTTGTCGTACCACACACACCTGAACATTCACTTGTTTCAACAATCATCGCAACCAATATATACAATAAAAATACATACATATTCGTGCACGATATGATTTGAAAATTCTTCGATCACTCGGCCTGGAGGCAGTAATTCGCTGCATTTCCATTTCTGTTATAATCTTGACAGCAATAAATGCAAAAATTACAGGAATTCTTAAGTACAAAATTAGCGAGCATATCTACATATGCAAAAATGTTCATCGATCGATAAGCTTAAAAGAAATCATTGATTTTCATCAATTTATAATTCAATCATGACTCGATCGTTTTATTTGGATCATTAATACTTCACCACACTACTTAGGTCATTTACATGCTCTACTTTCATATTTCCATGTGACAATGTTTAGGCAGTTTAGGCTTTTACTACAAATATCTAAGAAAATAGCTAAACTTCTCTTCTTTTTGTTACTCTGTACTATTACATAAAAATTTTGTCAGGCAATGTAAGTCCGTTTCTGTATTTACAACAGGACATTCGTAATACGGTATTATTTATTACTTTCGTATTAATTTTTATTCATTAAAAACGCTTACGTCTTGTATGCAAAACACAATTAAATGTCAATTCAATGACTTTCTGAATTAATTTTTTAAAGACAGACCTTTACAGAAAATATGTATAAACAATATATCTATTTTTATAATTCCAAATTGAAGGAAAAGATGTAATTTGATTGACGTGTCTATCGTTTGACACTTTAAATAAAGGTACTACAAATGGAAGACCTTAGTTATTAAAAATAATAAATGCAAAGGTTTTGTGCAATAGTTATCCTATGTCAATATCCTAACATTTTCTCCACAAGATAAATGGAGAGCATTTTATTAATAATCTGTCTACTTCTCTATAGACAATAGATTTATAAGCTATAAATGTTCATATAGTTAATTAATCGACTATGCGTTCATTGGTTAATATCTTTTATGGTCCACTCAAGACTCGTTTTAATTACTTGTAAAATAATAAAACTGGCTTTTTGTCTTATATTATAAGTGTTAGTATAATTGCAATGGACAAAATTAATTTAATGTAAAGTAAATAAAGATATTTAAATTTATCTTTCTTGTTATTCTATGTTGAGTAAATTTTACGTTTGATATCATAATAGTATTTAAAAAACTACAACACTATTTTATTTATAGAATTTGTACTTTGCCTAATCGATGAAAAATTGATTACATTGCAAAATATAGAAAGCTTTATTATTCAAAGGTATAAATATCACTTGATTATTAAAAATATGTAACTAACAGCTCAAGCTGGTGAGTCTTAGGAATTTATTTTAGGAATTAAATTTACGAGTCTATGAGTATCCTTATGTTATAATAAAATCGACAATGTAAAATAACGTGAGTTGATTTTTTTATCACGTTAAGCATCATCGTGTCTTTTTTTTTTTTTTTTTTTTTTAATGAGGTATCAATTATGTTAGCAATTCATTATGTGAATGTGTATGTTTCATCTACAAATCATTTTTGTACCAAACACATTTACGCGTTGACCATAGTGTCAGGAGCATATATGTGCATGCAATTATGACATTAAAGCAAAAGTAACGATATATTTTCTTGGTATAATGTATCTAATTATACTTGTGCTTACTGAATAATATAACTTCTTTTAAGCCTAATGTTATTGCTCTCTTAGTTAATGTTTAAACACATATTACTGTACCCTTCCTGGCAGTTCGCAATTCTATCGAAATGTTAATGGTACAAATAGAGGTATTGTCATTATTACTTATTAAGAGACTGACAATTGCAAATGAATGATCGTTTAACACTGATTTGCCGTACTTGATGAGCTTGTTCTCTTATATGTAGAAACATTATGTTAAAATCGAAAACAACCAGCAGCTTGTCCAAATTAATCTTGCAGCATCAATGTTTCCATGCATCGAGTCGACGTTTGAGTTTTGGAACGCTTGATGATCTAAGCGTGATGCCTGCTGTCAGTAAAACTCTGAATCTGAACTGTGTTGTGAATCACCACTTCTGCCATTCAAATACACTTCTGATGTTTGTTGAATTGATGGTGAATGTTGTGCAGCTTCCCAATTTTGACCTACAGCAATAACTGATTAATGATTTGCAGAAAATTCTATAGTGAATTGCGAAAAATTAGTATACAAACCATGTGCAGCAAGAATAGTAGCTAAACAACGTGCAACAGCCGGATTTGGAGCACAAGCTAAGGCAGGTGTAAGACCTTCTGCATCGACAGCGACAACACTTGCACCTAGTTGTAATAAACGTCGTGTTACCTGTGAAAGATAAATTTATGTAATTATTCTCATAATCTTAAAACAATTACTAAATCGACATAAAACTTTCTTACCGTCACAAGACCGTTTCTCGCTGCCAAATGCAATGGAGTTCTTTGTTGTTTATTGGTCATGTTAATAACGGCAATGCTTTGCTGTTGTTGTGGTGTATTTTCACCGTTAGTATTAAGCGAATTGATCCAATTTAGTAACAGTGAAGCAGCAGCAGAATGCCGTCTTTGACAAGCTAAGTGAAGGGCTGTATTTTTGTTACAGTCAACAGCACGCACATCAGCTTTCCACTCAAGCAATAACTCTAACATTTTAAAATACATCAATGAAAAAAAAGATTGAAAAAACATTAAACATTTAAATATAATTAAAAGAAATTTACCGATAGCACTGCATTGACCCGTAATAGCAGCACAAAGAAGAGGCGTTCGACCTGAATAATCTGGAATTTCAAGTCCAGCTAATTCAGGTCCGACAGAACTTAGTATCAGTTTTGCGCATTCTACAGATCCCGAACTAGCTGCAACATGTAATGGTAATCGACCACCTGGAACATCTCTTGGAGCAGTAACCGTTTTTCCTCCAAATTTATTTATTAATAATTCTAAACAATGTGCTGAACCCTGATAAACTGCACAGTGAACAGCCGAAAATGGATTACCTGAATATAATGAAATAACTTACATTCAAAATTAAAAATAATAATTCACATAGAATTGAAGAATCCTTACCTTCTAACGAGTCAATTACATTTTGTTCTAATAAATATTCCACACAATTCGAGTTTCCATTGTAACAAGCCCAGTGAAGAACGGTACATCCTTGATCATCTTTTAAAGTGGCAGCTGCAGGATGAGCTTTGACAAGAGAAGCTAAGGCTTTTACTCTATGAAAAAATTAGGTTTGAGTAAACATAAATATAAATAAATATTTTAATTTGACAAAAAAAACTAACCTTCCACATGCAGCAGCTAAATGTAATGGTGTTTTACCATTTGCATCTTGTATCGCTACTTGTGCGCCATGTGATAATAACAACTCTACTAATTGATGATCGCGTTCTTTAACTACTGCTCGAAACAGTGGCGTATGTTTGTTTACGTCTGGTAAATTACAATCAGCTTTATATTTTAAAAGTAACAAAGCACATTCTGGATTGCTATTCGCTACTGCTAGTGTTAAAGGAGTTCGTTGCTTTGTATCGTAACAATTGACTACATTTGGATCTTCTGCATTTTCCAACAGAAGTTCCAGACAATTAAAATGACCTGCTGCCGCTGCACAATGTACTGGAGTACGTCTTGTAATAGAATCCTGTACCGATACACAAGCTCCGTATCGTAATAAAAGTTGAACACATTTTTCATGGCCTTTATATGAAGCTAGATCCAATGCTGTTTTACCAGTATCTTCTTTAATATTAATATTGGAAAATAATGGTAGTAGTAAACTTAGTATTTCACTATGTCCATGATATGCCTGTAATGCAAATAATTGTATTTTCAAATATCAAATATAATAAAACTATTGGTTTATTTAGACATACAGCAAGATGTAAAGGTGTTAGCGCAGGTAATGGAGGTTCTGATTTTCCTGTAGTAGAACTAGATGAAGCTGTTAAATTTCCTGAGGGACAAGCTTCTAATAAAGCTTCTAAAGCTGGTTGATTTCCACCAGCTACGGCATAATGAATAGCAGTGAAACCTCGTTTATCACGCAAACGGGGATCTGCTTTGTGCTTCAATAAATACTGCACGCACCTAAACAAAAATGATATAAATAAAATTAATTTTAAAAAAATGTTTAAAGATGCTTAAAATATACTTACTGAGCACCAGAATCTGTAGGATTTGATGCTGCGGCTAAATGTAAAGGAGTTGCACCGTCTATATCTTGCGCATTAGAATCACTTCCAAATCCAACCAAAATAAAAACGCATAGGTAATGACCTTGACTAGCAGCATGATGAAGTGCTAACCTATTATCATTATCGGTTAATCGAAAATTGGCTCCACTGGATAATAATAAATCTAAACAATCAACAGAGCCCTTGAATGCTGCTAAATGTAATGGAGTTCTACCACCGATATCTCTTGTATCTATACGACGACTATCAACTTGTAATAATTTTCTACAGACCTGTAAATTTCATAAAGAAATTAATATTTAAGTTAACAAAAACATTGAAATATAAATGTAATATGTTACCTCAATATGTCCTGCCAAGCAACTAAGATGCAATGCAGTACGCTGTTCAGCGTTTCGCGCTGCTGGAGATGCACCATACTCTAATAATGTTGTTGTTAAACATTCATGACCAAACCTACATAAAAATTTAGATATAGTGAAATATGGAAAATATTGAATAATTATTGAATTGAATAATTATCGTTGTAGTTTACCAAGCAGCAACGTGTAAAGCAGTATTTCTATTTTTATCTTTAATATCTGGCAATGCCCCAGCATCAAGTAAACTCTTTGATCGAGTAAATCTTCCATGAATTGCAGTCATATGTAAAGGTGTACGCCCATCTTCTGATTGAACATCTATTGTCAAACCAGATTGTGAAAGTACTTCTAAACAATGAACACCATGAGTACTAGCAGCGGCAACGTGTAACGGTGTTTGACCTCGATAATTTACAGCCTCTATTACAAGAATTGTTTATTATTAAAGATATAAATAAAAATGTTCCTAACAAATTCTAAGATCATCTTACCAACATTCGCAGAATTGACAATTAATACTGTAACTGCATCAGCATGGCCATTTAAACATGCAATATGCAGAGGAGTATTTCCATATACATTTTTTGCTTCAATATTTGCTCCAGATTTTATCAATGTATGCATGCATTCTACATTACCAGATGCTGCAGCTGCATGTAAAGGAGTATACAAATCTCGATCCTTAACAATTAAAAATATAGATGTAAATAATGTTGTATATGAATGAACACTGTATATGAATAACAAGGATATTCAAAAATTTGTATGTACTTTAACATCTACATCTGCTCCATTTGCTATAAGTGTTTTAACAATTCTATCATGTCCCATGTATGCTGCAAAATGTAAAGCTCTACGATCTTGCCTATCAGAAGCATTTACTACACAACCAATTTCAGTCAGATATTTTGTCATTTCCAAATGTCCATTGTAAGCTGCATGATGCAAACTTGTTCTACCACCTCTGTAAATATTGATTGATTGGTATTCATATCCAAATGTAAAATCAAAAAATATTGAAAACACAAACCTGTCTGCTACATTAATGTTCATTAAATGTGGAACTATCAACTCCGCACACTGAACAGCATTATTTGCTGCTGCTACATGTAAAGGAGTTTGCCAATTGCGATCCCTGATATTGACATCTGCTTTATGACGTAACAAGACTTCTACTACATTATGATTCCCTGAGCAACAGGCTCTATACAAAGGTGTCAACCATTTCTTATCTTTAGCATTTACTGCAGCTTCATGCAATAAGAGAACTTCCACAATTGCTGGATCTCCCTTATATGCAGCTGCGTGCAAAAGAGATCGTTGCTCTTTATCTTGCCAGTTTGGATCTTCTTTTTTTGATAATAATGCTCTGACTTCATCTACATCTCCAAAGAATATAGCTTGTAATAGAGAAGACTGCAAAAATATGGACACTTTATCCCAGAAACACTTAAATCATGTAAATTTTTGTACATAATACAAAGTATAATAAAGTAACTAATTTATATAAAACTTTTTATAATATCTAATAGTTTAATCAATTTACACTAATTTAAAGTCCTGAATTTCAAAATATATGATAATATACAGAAATAAAATGAAAACAATATCATTATATTACAAAGAATTGGAAACAAGTCGTACGTTTGACACATGACTATAACCTTCGATATTAAACTTCATGGTTTTGAAAACAGTTTAGTGAAATGCATTCATTCAAAGAAGTAAAATAACATACCCCGTCACGCAATTCCTGCACGTTCATGATTAATGAATTTTTTAGTTTGTACAAATACGGAAGTATTTATAAAAACATAGTTGGAGATCTGTAAAAAACTGACATAGTAGTGTGAGTCATACTTTACAAGTATCGTTAGAGATGTTACTTTCTTTTTGCAGTCGGAAATTTATTATAAGCGTATTGTAGATCCAACTGTTTTTTTCAAATAAACAGCGGCATCATTTATATTATAAAAATTACGAAAATATACATAATAATTGTATCTTCAAATATAAACAGTTATAGCTATCTTCTCATAGTGCACTCTATCTTTATTCTGTCAAATTATCAGAAGCTTGTAAACAGATGGAAATGCAACTGTTACATTCGCGCGAAAATTAAAGTATTTCTCTCAAATTACACGAAATGATACACGCTTATCTTTCATCTGTTTCCTGTTATGTTGTACATAAATAGAAGAACTTCTTTCTGGCCAAATAATATTATAACGCATCAATTTTTAATGTTGAAATGGATATTGACACATATGACCAAACTCGATATTACATACATAAAATTAAAAAAAAGAATGTACATGAATTAGAACAAAAATTAAAGAATGGAACATTAAACGTAATACCTTCGAAATTAAAATTTACTTTTAATTCTGGAAACTTCAAAATTCAAGAAAGTACAGTAGAAATTGCCAATTACTTCTTTAAACCATGCCTAATTCGATTTTTACCATTTGAAACTCACTATTTCAAGATTAAAAATACCTTTCATGTGAATAAAAAATTTAAATTGTTTGTTTAATAATTAATATTTTATGTAAAATTGAAGTTTGTATGTTATAGAAAATATGGCTTAATCCGGGATCAGTTTTCAAAATGAATATTTTATTTATGCCGGATGAAAACAGAGATTATAATGATGTTTTGAGAATATGTTATTTCAATGATCAAACAATACAAATAAAAGTTTATGCTAAGATAATGACCAAATTTTTCTTTCCTACAACTGTAAATTTTGGAGATGTACCACTTGGTCGAACGTAAGTTTATTTTCAATTATTTGTTAATCTACATATTAAATCTAATTATTTATTATTGAAGGATTTATTATAAAATACCAATACATCCTCACGCAGAGAAAGAATTTTCTTTCGCAATTATATCTAACGGAGAGTCATGTGTCGACATCTATCCTCGATGGGGTATACCCAACTTTTTAATTTTTTAATCTTAATTATCATTTTATAGCATATTATATTTCATTCTTCTTTTAGGTCATATAAAAACAAAGCAGAACCCTGTAATAATTATGATTATTTACAGACCCCTTCAATATATAAGTATGAATTTTCAAATTCGAATATTTATATCTGATTTATGCAGAGCACCACATGTCATAAATTTCTATGCGTATACTCGACCAGGTCTTTTACGGTGAGGATACTTGCAGTAATAATTATTTACAAAATATGACAAAAGTATTTATAAAAGAAAAAACAAGTAATGATGAAAATAAATGTAATTAAGAAAAGAATTGAATAATTAGAGAAACATTGGAAAACATCAAACTGGGAATAGAAAGTAAACCGCAACAAGAAAAAATTGGCCTGACTGTTTGCAAAGAAGTAAAACCAATTTCTATACCAAAAGATAAATTGAATTATTACTTAAACGAATCTATTGCAAACTTCTCGAGTTTTGAAAAATTGTTATTAAAAGAATGTAGTTACTCTTCCTCGTATACATTGCATACCGTTAATTGTATTTTAAATTTAACAATTCGAAGCTCATTCAATGAACATGAAATAAAAGGTTAGATTTTTTATACATAATCCTAATCCTATAAAAAAATAATTTCTTAAAAAATATATAAAATATAAGTTATTTATTAATTAGGACCATTAGGTGCGTATTTGTCTAAAAATTTAATGCTGAAAGTCCAAAAACTAAAAAAATTTTTAATAAGAGTAGAACACTGTGACAAAAATGGGACAGCAAAATTTTATCATAAATCAAATGTAAATTATGATTCCAATGAAAATCAAATAATTAAAATTAAAATACAACAAAAGCAAGTATGGGATGAGTATAAAGATTTAATAACGAACTCAGAAAAATATTTATTTGAACAACAAAAACTTAAAAAAATAAGACAAAGAATTTTAAGAGTTTCTCAAAAAGTATATATATCTTTAATTACGAATAATTTAGCTTATGAAAAATTATTTATAAATTATTCTTCCTAGTATCCAACTTCAATTTCAACATCATCTCAAAAAGAAGAGTCCTTTTTTCATTATTGCAAAATTCTACCCTTTCTTCAGGTAGCCCGTAAAGTCGTGTTAAGGAATCGATTATTAAAAGTACTTGCAACATTACGAAAAATGACACTTCAATTAATTCATCAATATGAAGAACCATTTACAAAAAGGTTTTCACTTACATCACAAGTTTGAAAAATAGAATGTTATACTTTAAGTTTCAAAATTTAATTGAAAATTAAGTATTATTTCTGAATTATTTCTGAATTATAAAATATATATATAAAAGAATTAAATTTTAAATAATTTATATGATTACAAATATTTTTTTGAAAGTCACGTGCATGGCCATATGCTTTGTAGGTGGCACTTTCATGAATACCGCCAAGATTAAGGAAAAAGCGTCTACTCGCGATTGAAACAATTAATAACTTGAAAAAAAAGTTTATAGTTATACATAATAATTGTAATATAATTCCATACACCATGTATTAAACATAATTTTTTAGAAAGCTAAAAAAAAAATATGTTCCAGTTTAAGTAGATATTTGCATTGATTATTTTATACTTTTTTTAATAACATCATACACATGGATCTTTATTTAACTTTTAATTGCAATGGAAAAGTGAATTTTAATGATTGGGAATTAAATAGAAATGGGTTATTCTTACGTGGAGAAGTGGACAAAATTTTATATCCACAAGACGAATGTTTCTTATTAGATAAAAATGTACGACTTTTTGGCTATGATATGTCTGCTGCAACAGCTTTGTTAGATTTAAAGCATTTCAATAGATGTATGAAGTAAGAGTACCTTTTATATGATTTTATTCTTTTTTATTTTATTATATTTTACATTTTATTTCATTATAAAAATATTTTGTTACGTTTATTGATATCTCATTTTTCTTTTAACAGTATGCAACTAAAAATACTCAGCAGGCATGAAACTTATAATCAAGTATTAAATTTCAAAACAAAGGATATTGATTTTTATTATATAAGATGCATTATATCAGAATTTATTTTATATATTCGAATGTATTTAAATAGGTAAGGTAATTTATTTTTCAAAAGCTTTTTTTTTGGCAATTAATTAGAACTAAGAATATAAATCTGTAGTATTAAAGGAAATTATCGGTCATTACAAGCTATAAATGAGAATATTGAAGAAGAATTTAATGTATTATTTATTACAATAAAACGTTTCCTTGAAAGAATACGTAATATTCCTGATGCTACATTCCATTATGCACCTTCTAAATTAGGCAATCAGGTTTGTAGATAAATATATAGTATTTAACATTATAATTTCATATCTTGTATATTGTAGTGCAAACAACCAGAATATCACATGTATCATATGCATATTGAATTAAGATGGTTTTTTATTTCATTAATATATACACGAAATATATATTTCCAATATCCAATTGAAAACCATTTGGATGAGTTTGAAAGCATTCAAATAATGATTATTAATGATCTAATTTATACTTCATTAAAAATATTTGAAACGGTAAAAATATAACTTTTTTTGTAAAAACATTATGATTAAATATTTGAATGTGCCTATTAGATCTGTCCCTTGGCAATGTTCTAGATGCCTCTGATACATGTACAACAAAAAACTCCATATAATTGTACTTGTATTCGTGAATTATGGCTTATGCTTCAAATATTTATTGATAATTTATCTGACAGAATGAAATCAAAGGTATTATATTAGAAGTTTTTTATGAATATATTTTGCAATGTATTTATTTTATAACATCATTTTTATTTATAGACTTTTTGGGAATATGTAAATGAATGTATTAATGGATTATTAAATAGGAATGCATCTGACAACAACAAAGAGTTTCTAACAATTTGTAAAAATTCTGAATTATTCTGCTTATGGATTGTCCATAATCTTTCACTTTTATATGGTTACAATAGTGATGGAATATATTTAGGACCTAAGTGTTCAAGGGTAATTATATTTTAATTTCCTTTTTTATATTTAAATTCACATGTGTTAAGCAATACTAATTATTTATTTATTTTTTTAAAGATAAGACCTAATTATGAACAACTAGAAAGAATTTTGAAAACATATATTTCAAAAGGTGGGAAAGATGGTGATCGAGATGAAATTGATGAAGAATTACGTATAATGATACCTTTATTAAATAATATTGTTACTACTTGGTGGCAGCCACGAGTTTCAGTCATTTCTCTTCTTTGGGATTGCTTCCATAAAAGATTAGATGAACCATTTCTGTTACAAGTATCTGGTCCTTGGACATTGTCAGTTGAGAAGTATGTAAATAATTGATGTATTGTATTTTATATATTGTAATTTATGTATTGTATATTTTTCATATTGACTTTTAAAAAAATTATTAAAAAGTTTTTTTATAGGAAATCTGCAATGGATATTCTCAAACAGGTGAAGGATAGAATAAATAATATAGATTGTATTAAAGAATCAAGTTATGGCATGTTCTTACGTTTGCTTGGTGAGTCTTATTCCAACATAGCTTATTTGTATTAATAAATATACCAATATTAATTATGTGTTACAGGATCTTTTTTACGTATAAACTACAATAACAGTGATACAAAATACTGGAATCAAATTAAAGGTCGTATTTATTCTAAATTTTCTAAGGGTAAAGTTGAAGAATTTTCACTAAGTGGCTTATATAATTTTATTTCATTATTTTTAACATTAGCTATTACTGCTGATACAACAAATGTTGTAAGTTTTAAATAAAGTAATCAGTTTATTTTCAAATAACTTTTTTTTTATAGAAATATATAATAGATTTACAAATACTTTTTACAGTGTTCTGTAATGTTAGACCTTTTACCAATAACAAAAGAATATAACAGTGAAAACAGTAAAAAACATAATTTAATCTGGAAAGGAAAATTGGCTGTTCTGCTTTTATATAATAATTTTAAATTGGACTTAATAAATATAGCACCTTTATATATAGATACGGTATATTGAATAATTAGATTTCAATAAACAAAATATTTTATATTTCTTACTTGAATTAAATTTTCAGGTAAATATTATATGTTGTCGTAAAGATGATACATCACGATCAATAATGAGTAATTTTATTGATGTATTCAGTACGATTTTATCATCTAGTAGTATCGAATTAGGAGAACATTTATTATTTAGTGGATGGATAGATAGATATTTGTTAGAATGTTCAAATAAAATGGTCGGAATATTAATAAGAGTCTTAGTTAACATTTTCGAAAAATGCATTTATCTCACTACTGCTTCTAATACAGGTACATCATTTTTTATTATATAGCAATTGCAATTTATATTGTCTGTTTCTTAATTTATTTACATGTAGGTAGAGTAACACAGATGCTAGATGCTTTATGGTGTTATGTTGCATGTAGAGTAAGACAACTTGTTTTTGATCCTGTTCTTACTAATGAATACTACCAAGATATTTCAAAACTTGCAGTTTTATTTACTTTAGAAGCATTGAAAAATCCAGCAATAGCAAAAAAGCATAAACATTCGGTTAGCTCTTTATTTCAGCATTTTGCGACATCGATAATCGTTAAAGACATAAGGTAATAAGATTGAACATTTGTAATATCATAATCAAAATATATTGTATATACATTTCATTCCAGAATCACAAGATATTATTTGATACTAATTCTTGAACAGGAACAAGCAGTTCATGACCTAAAAAAAGAAATAAAAAATTTTGATACAATACTTATACAAGTTAGTAAATAAAAATTACTAAATAAATTTTGTAAATAATAAAGATTTAATATTATATTCAAATTTTAGGCATGGTTAAAATGTTCTATCATTGGTCATGATACAAATGGAAATGAAATAAAAGTACTGCAAAATTATATATTACAATTAAATGATATACAAGAAATTTTTGAAACATATAATGATGTTCAAGAATTTCAAAATAATGATGAATCTATTTTAATATTTATAATGCACTCTATGAAAAAACGAAACACTTTAAAAGTATATGTTTATATTATTACTTGGAAAAAGGAATGTAAAATTAGGCAGAAAACATTCATTATTAATATCTTTTAGACTGAACAAGAACGAATTCAGTATGATACAAAATGGAGGTTGTACTTAAATCATATAGAAAAATGGATTCTTTTACCTATTACAGAAGAAACTAAGGATTCAGAATTGGCTTTGTGGATATACAGGTGTATTGGAACATTAATTCTTTGTACTTCTATTATGCTATATTCTAAAGTAAGTATGCATTGTTAGTTTGTGTAATAATTAGTAAATATATTATATTAATTTATATTATTTTTTAGAATCAACCAAATAACATATTCAAAACATTACTGAATAAAACTATACTGTCAGTGGAACAACCTTTCCTAAAGAACATAGGGAAAAAAACATTTTCTATGATAGTTTTGGGTATGGAAGCCCTTAATGTTAGAAGTGATATATCACTTCAAGTTTTAATACGAGATCTTTTTGATCAATATATGCCACTCTTAGTAACATCAACTATTAATGCAAATACTTTTAAAGTATCTGATTCGTTATTAAAATGTTTTAAAGATGCGAAAGCAGATTTTATACGTTTAATATTCGAAATTTTGATGACTAATTTTTTTACCATTTCAAATGATAATATAATGCATAAACATTCTTATTTAGTATGTATTATTTTTTTTATATATCATTTGTAAGATTTATTATAATTGATTATAACTTTATTGCAGGTAATGATAATTTTACAAAATTTGCTCAAAGGTGACAGAAATTATGCATGTCATATAATAGAATATATTATTTCAATTTGCACATCGCATGTTGTTGGATGTTACATAAAAGTTCATGATCATCATCCACACAAACAGCAGACTACTGATTTCATAAATAATATTATTGGAAATATATACTACAAAGAAAATAATTGTTTACGGTAAGTATTAATTTGTGTTAATTTAATATTTACTTTTAAATAATTTATAAAATTAACAATTACAGAGACAAGTTTTATAATACAATATCCAGTACTGTTAAAAGGTCATTAATAACAAATCAACATAATACTTTTGAATTTTTATATTCAATTTTATCAATATCGATTGAAATAGTACAATTTTTGTCACTACAACTTGAACATACCTTAAATGATTTAGAGATGCAAAGACGTCCAAATGCTGCATCTTTTAGGTGAGAAAATTGTTTAAACTTATGGTAACTTCTTAACTATTTCATAACTTTTGTTTTATTTTCAGGTATTCCTGGAATCTGCTTCAAAGTCTCATAAAAAAGAATAAGACAGGTCACTAGTAAGTTTAAAAAATTTATTATTAAATATTTAATAGTACTGTAATGATATTTTGTTATTATGCTACGAATTGATTTTATATATATATATATAAATTGCATAAACAGATAATTATATCTGTATACATAATTACATATAATTATATCTTATAAATTACATTTATTTAAAAAATAATGCATGATTCTAAAATCATAGACTGGAAAGAAACTTATCGTTATATACGGTAAAGATATGCCATAATTAATAACTATGGAGCACATGTAATAAAAAAAAAAAAAAAAAAACTATCTTACAAGATACGTAAAAAAGAACACAATCACTTTTATATTATTTTCGATGTGAATGCCTTGAACGATGATGTTTTATTGGCGTAGTAGTTGTACTACCGGGAGGCGATCGTCATCCAATTAATTCAAATCGAGATACGGCATTACGCACAGCGTTCCTTAGAGATTGTTCAACATTGCCATTTAATAATGATTCAAGTCTTTCGACGTAATTATCAATATTTTGTAATGTCGCTCCGTCATTCGTTCCTAAAAATAAACAGTAAATTATAATTATAAATGCATGGAATACAAATAATAGACACAAAATTATTGTATGATTCCAACCAGGTAAAGGTACTGTGGCGAAACAACCGGCTAATTGCGAACGAAGAGAATCCAAATGACGCTGTAGAGCTTGATTTGTTGTACGTTGTTGGTTTGTTTCAGATTCTAAACGATTTACAGCTGCATATAAGCTGTCTACGTGTCGTTGAAGCACTGCATTCTGAGCTTCATAATCTGATGTAGCTTTTCTTAACTGTCTCAATTCAGCTTCACATGCTATATGTACAGAAATTATAAAAATATAGTTTTTATATAATTTCTATTAATAAGTTTATGTGCAATTATTTACCCTTATTATGATCCAAAAATTCCTCTGTAAAAATAGGTATATCAAAACCTGTGAAGTCATTATCTTTATCTTGTTGAATATCCTGGTAAAATATTAAATATTAATAATGATATAATAACTACACTGAGATACAATTGGCAATTAATAGGGTTACATATATCATACATTTTGTTCAGAATTTATATCAGTTCCATTTCTTTCTTTTTTATTTTCTTGTTGTTTTTCTGAAGATTGTTTTTCACTAAATAATCGGTATGCTTCTGTTTGTTTATAATCACTAAATTCACGATTATAACGTTCCTTATCTTGCTCTGCTGCATCTAAATAATGTTGCTTTTGATCAGCAGGTAGAGTACTCCACTCTGAAGCAAGAAGTTTTGTGATTTCAGCAAATGACAGGGTAGGGTTTTCGTTCCTTACTTTCTCTCTTCGGTCATTTAAAAACCTGTTATAATTTGTTATCAAATATGCTTTTCATCCTAATTATATTTTTGTGACTATATAAAACTATACCTGAAATAACCAGTTAAAGGTTGTTTTGGGGCTGTGGCATCTCTAGGAGCTTTCTTCCTCTTTTTAGCTCTACTAGTTGTATTAGTAGTATTACTTCCAACTATAGAAGCTATATTATTCTTTTTAATCCCATTATCACATACTGAATCGGGTGTTTTATCTTCTCCACTTCCTGGTGATTTGTCTACCAAATAAATTATTGCAATTAAATAATAATATATAGAAATATTTTTTAGAATATAGAAGTTATGCTTAGAATTTACTAAAAAAATTGGATTTACTTGTATGTTCTTCAGTTTCTCCATTGTAACTAGGTTGTTCTGATCCACCATTACTTTCAGGCATATCAATAATTGATGCATTTTCACTCATTTCTAATAATATATATTATTATCCCTCTTTAATATATTATTTATTTTAAACAAAATTCATAACCAATTTTATTAAACCTGAATTTGTAATTACATTAATCCCTAAAAGGTTATACGAAATGCAACATTACTTTATAAAGGATATTAATCCAATGGTCATGAAATATTATACTCACTATAATTAATATATTTTTGGAGAATCTAATGTAAAGATTTACTTAGCAAGAGTTTATTAGGTTAAATAACGAAAGTACTAGTAAGTTTGTTAGCTAAGACACCAAAAAAATGTTATGACAATTTCAGATTACTATTACTCTATCAGATGTATTTTCTTTAAGTATAAATTTTTAATAACAAAAACAATATATTAATGAAAATACATAGTTCTAAATTTTGGTTGGCATAAACAGTAAAGCCAAATTTCCATGAAAAGAATTCAAATGACGCTAATTCAAAAGCTGATAATTTTACCGCTGTATCAAAACCTTAAACTTTTAGTTCTGAGAATATGTTCTTCATGAATGAAAAGGAACAGTCACATTTAACTTAACATAACGTGGTAGGGTCCTAAGTTATTTCTAAACAAAACTTACCATTTAGCGCAATGTTTAATAGTCATTTTACTTTGTCGTAGTGTAATATTTAATTTTACGCATTTCATACGCTCTGCAAAAATTGGAAAAACATGGAAGTACATGATAATTCTATTATTCTTCAAAGCAGTAACAGGTAATTTATTTTATTTATATTTTTAAAGCAAATAAAATTTATTATTCTAAGTAATTATAGAAAATTCATTTTTTTAGTAACGTAACGGTGGCAGATTCGGTATGGAAATTCATTAATAGTCCTGTAATTGCAATATTTTCTGATTTAAAAAATGCCACTGCTAAACAAATGCTTTGTTCTCTTTTGGAGTCTATACTTAAAGGTTCAGCGACTTTGACTACAGTTTTAGTCCCACCTTTCAGTAATGGAATACAAAATGAAACATTGAGATATCAATATACTGGTATACTAATGAATAATAAATACTAATGAAATTATATTATACATATGAACTAGTACAAGAATTCAATAAAGTCATAATATATTTTAATTATAGCATTTACCACTTGGTTATTTGGCATTATGTTTCACCTAGTTGGAGATTCTTTAAATAATGAAGTTTTGAACAACAGTATAGACATACAAGCTTGTATGCTTAGAATCTTATCTAGACATCATATCACAATGTTTGAAACAATTAGTAATGAATATATGAATATTCTTCAAGGTATATATTTAAAAAAATTTCATGCGTGCAATACTTAACAATATCATTAATTTCAGAAATATCAGAATTTCATAAAACAGCCGGAGAAGAAGATAAAATTATATTGGCTAGATTTCATACAGAAAGAAATGTCATAGAAAATTTGGATTTACAAGCATTTCCTGTTACAATAAAATATTGTGATATACCATTAGTACAAGCATCTATAATTACAGTAATACATTTGAATTTGTTATTCATGTATATGATATTGTTATTAAGATTGTTGTATTCTTTTTTCTTTAGATTATAAAAAAGACAGGAGTTTTTGGTTGGAATCACAAAATACTCTATGAAAAAATGTTAAAACTAATGATTACATCTGTTCCAAATGTAAAATTTGTATCATTAGACCTTTGTGTAAAATTAATGCAATCTTCATTATTCAATAAACAGGTAACATAATTTACTAATGTTAATAATTGTATGTTAATAATTTGAAATTTACTACTTTAAGGAGCATGAAAATTTAATACTTTATGCTATTGAGATTATCAAAGCACTTCCTATCTGGTTAAATTTATATGAAATATCAGAAGATCAATTAAATCAATTTCTATGGACATGTATTCAATTTGTTCAATCTTCACCAGTGTCTTCAAATAGCATTGAATTATGCTTTCAAATTACTGATTTTACAATTAATGAAATAAAATGTAAGTTAGCTATGTACAAATATTTTTAGCCATTTCTTTTTAATAAGTTATAAATTGAAGATTCGCTTTTAGGTCATCATCCCAATCTTAATGCTGTAGAAATCATAAAAAAAGCAGCATGTAGTAAAATTTTACAATATTTTACTATGAAACCAAGAATATGTACTTCTTCTGAAACAGAAAAATTAATTTCATATTTTGAGTATTATCCGGTTTGTAAGACTTAAAATTATGTGATAAAATATTTAACAATACTTATAGTTATTTTAATGCAATCTTATTACAGGATTTTATTATCATTTTTATTCACTATGTTCTTATTGATATTAAGCATACAATTAGTACAAATAATTTAGTTAGTAATACATGTGTATCATGGAATTTGTTAAAAAGGGAATTAATAACTACATCTCAAAAAGAAAAATTTAGAACATCTATGCATATTTTGAAAGCCTCACGTATTTTACAGTCATGGTTGAAAGAATTACAGTTACAAACAAATTTGTATACACATGAGTTAGATGATGTTTTAAAGATACTATTGCAAAATCTAAGATCTGCACAATGTCAGCAGAAAAACATCATTTTTGAATGTTTAATACACATGATAGTACACAATGAATCAAATAAAGATTTAATTCAGAAAATATTAACTTTACCATTTACACAACATATTGAAATTCCGATGAATATAATGAATATTCATGCAAAAGAAGCTGCTAAATCTCTTGATATTGGTACAATGGTAAAATGCCTTGAAGTTTTATGTGAATATGGTACTGGAATAGATCGACTGAAGATATTAAATGCATGTATAATTAATCATCAAACTGAAATAGCAGCAGCAGCAGTGTTGTAAGTAATTTATATTTAATGATTTGAAGATAATAAAGTAGATATATTAAACTACATAAAAAATGTATAGGAATAGTATATTAATTTTAAAAAATGAAGATATACAATTAGAAAATATTTCAAAGTATATTCTTCAATCTGCATTACATTCAAAAAAACAGGAAGTTCATGAAATGCTTGTAATTGCTTTGAGTAAAATAAGCTGTTATTTGTCAGGATGTGGAAATTTCATAAGGTAATTTTTTATTGCATAATTTGCTCTATTAATTATTTAAATTGTTAATCAATTAAATTAATGAAATTAAATGATAAAATATTTTTGTTAACAGAGAATCAGATAATATAACATGGACATTAGAATGCAAATGTTGTAACAATATATCTGAAAGCAATGTAAATTCTAACACTTACATCTCGGAAGAATATGATCATCTTCTTAAGCCATATTTTAATTTATTATCTTCAAGTTTTGTTTCAGTACGCTTGGAGATCTCCAAAAATATTATTTCTTTTTCAAATCACATCATGTCTTTCAACAATAATGAAGTAGCAAGAATATGGTTTTCATATGTAGAAGACGAAAATTTTATAATTCGTTCCAATATTGCTACAGCAATAAAAAGATTATTGCTAAATAAAATAAATATCGTGTCGAAATTTGCGATATCTGTTGAAGATGATGTACCTAACTGTTTAGATGAATTTGTTGAATCACTTATTAATACTTTAGCATGTGTACTTATGAAAGCTCTAACAAATTCAAATCATGCTTTACATGATACTTTACTTGTTACTGCAAGAAATTGTGCATGGTATGTATTTTATTTGGTATATATAATTTTATATAATATAATTTTTTACTTTTAAATTTTAGTATTCCATTGCATATTATTGAAAGACAAATTTTGAATATATTTTTTATATCTATATTACACTCAACATCATCTCCTGCAGCAATAGCATTTGCAACTACCGCATATCACGATATTGCTAAATTTTTAAATGTTTCGCCAAAAATTTTATATGTTCGATATAAAAAACATTTTCTTAAGGTATATAAATTTTATTATAAATTGGAGAAGTTTATATTTTATTACTTATATTTTTTCAAGGAATATATTATTTCATTTTAGCTCATAATGCAGTGTGCAGTTTACAATTTTATACATTACTCTTACAATATGGCTACATCCGTTCATCGTATTGCAAAATGTATCGGTTACGAGGGATCACGTCATTTATTACGGAAAGATGGACATTATGCAGTTTGTTTTGTACTTTCTTTTATCATTGACGTGCCAAATGCAAAAACTCTCTTGCATGATATAGCAGAATTAATCAGTATGGATGAAAAACAAATGTTAAAAGAATATTTTCCTGTACGTATAATAATAAAAAAATATATATTTACTTTAATGTTATTAGTTATAACATTAATTTAAGCATATTTGTTTAGTATATTTGTAGTTATGCATTTCTAAATATGCCTCTTGCGACAGCTACAGAATGTTTAAGATTAGTTTCAAGAATTACACAAATGAATTTATCACTCTTAACAAGACAATCATTTATGGTAATGTAATTAATACACAAATATCTTTATTACATTATTGATATTAGATTTTAATAATCTTAACACATATAATTAATAGGGTATATTTGAAGAATTAATGTTAAATTTTCATGAGTCTCCAGAGAAGATAATCGGATTGTTAAAAATTATATCTGAATATGATAGTAGTTCAGAAAAGAATTACATTATGCAAAAAGGGATTGTAAGTATCTTCACAAGATTTATTTCAAAAAATAAATAAATAAATATATGTATCATTTACAGGAATCTTATTTGAATTTACGTTTACATGGTATATTAGTTAACTTTGATATAAAACTTGGATTAAAATCAGATGAACATACTCAACAGTCTACTTTAGCGTCATTAGCTGCGTTAATGCGATATATGGGTGCGCTATATTTAACACCTTTGAGATATAAAATCTTAGCAACATTGCGAACTTCATTAGGATTTAAGAGACCAGGATTTGGATCACTTGTATGTGATGCATGGAATGCATTCATTCATAAGTATGTATTAAAAATCATAATATTTGTAAATGAAAAATAATGAAGCGTTTTAATGTTTAGTATAGCTATCAAAGAACTTGGCCCATTGTTACCAACTATATATGTTTCATTAATATCATTATTAAATGTGTATCGGGAAAAAATAATTGCAATGTTAAAGTTCCTGGTTATTAAATGCAATGAGGAAAGTCCAGATCATATTGCAGAATTATTCTTTATAGATGATATTGAAGTTTCCATTGAAATCTCAAGCATAATTAAAGCACGCATTTTACAAACTAAGTATAAAAAGAATATCCAGTTTTTTTTAATATTAAAAATTAATAATATAAATATGGATTAACGTTAAATCTATCTGCTTTATTAACATCTATATAAATTCTAGGCCTAAAGGTTTTGAAGCCAATTTAAAGTTATGGCTTAAACGAATTACGCATGAAACAGACGAAATTATAGTCAGAGCTTTGATGTATCTGCAAAAATTTTTAGCTGAAAATCGCAGTCAATTGAATAAAATGATTTTGAGTGAAACTAATATTCATCCATTAATTGTTGATGTATGTTTGTTACTTAAAGTAAAAAATATATTAATGATATATAATGACTATGGGTAACTTTTTAGCTATTACACACATTATTAATTGGATGTCAGCATAAAGATGAAGCTATTCGTTTATTATATGGTGAATGTCTAGGAGAATTGGGTGCTATTGAACCAAGTCTTCTTCCTCGTAGAATTATTTCTAGAGGTATGCTATTTATTACTTTATTATTTATTTATTCTTTATATTACTTTTTTTTTACATTTTAGTGGACAGTAAATTTATTCCTGATATGAATGAAGAATTTGCCTGTGCTATACTTTTTGAACATGCTCGAGCATTTCAAATACAAAAAAGTAGTCAAAGTATGGATTGTTTTTCACTTGCTGTTCAAGTAAGTAATAGCAACCTTAGGATTTTTATATTGTAGCTAAATTTATATCTTTATAAATGCATATGATTTTAGGAAATTTTAAAGACATATGATATCTCACCTCGAGGAAAAAACAGTGATCTCTGGAATAGTTTACCTCTGACTATGAAACAAATTATTACTCCTTTCTTAACTTCACATTATAAGATTGCAACTATCAGCGATGATAAAACGTTCCCCCATCCTATTTATGGGTAAATACTTCATAAAAATATTTTCCAAAATTTTAATCTATTATTGATTAACTCAGATAATTTATTTTTCAAATAGTTCAGAAGCTGGGTCTTCTGTAGAAAACTGGGCTTATAATTGGCTTTGTAATATGTTTAGCAATATTCACGATGAAACTCTTATTAATGTATTACGTGCGTGTAAATTAGCCCTTAAACGAGATATAAAAATATTAACGTTTTGTTTACCTCATGTTGTGTGTAAGCATTGTTATTAATATTATTTTTACAGTAGAATGAATCATTAATTATAATTTAAATATACATATTTTTTATTGATCAGCGTATATAATAACAAAAGGCACTGAACAAGAACATGCAAAAATACGAGAAGAAATGTTAACAATTATCGATGTTAGGAAAAAACCTATACTTGATTCTGAATTGTCATGTCATAGACCTCTTAGACATGGATATAGTGTAAAGGCGGATGATGCTAGAATTTCCGAAGAAACTAGACGTACACGTTGTGCACAGGTATGTAAATAAAAAATATTACTTTTATCATTCAGTTAATAATTTTTGTTATAATTTTCGAATAGATCATATTTTCAGTGTTAGATCATTTACAAAGATGGCTTTGGGAACAAAGATTAGTTCGTAATCACAAATATGATGCTTTAAAGAGTAAGTCATTTAGATTTAAATGATTAATAATCACAAATAAATATACATTGTTTCTGTTTCTATTTAGATTTTTGTGAAACATTAAATGCATTAGTTGTGGCAGAAGGATGTTATCAATTTCGAGAATACCATAGAGCATTAATGTATTTAGAACAACACATGGCTTCTTCTAATAAAGGATTATCAGAAGCATTGGAAGGTGGATTACTTGCTGTAAGTTTTAACTCAACATAGAATTAATAATAGTTCTTGTCACTAGTTTAGTTTTATTTATTTCTTTTTTTCTTTTTCTTTTTTTCTTAGAAAATATATGCTCAATTAGACGAACCAGATGGTATATCTGGCATTTTAGCTACTCAAGATCATACTCCAACAGTTCAACAATTAGTGTTAGCTCATGAAGTCAATGGACAGCTGCAGGTATGATGAAATTTGTTTATTTAAATGTTAATTAATATACACATATACAAAATATTTATAAAATGTATAGGATGCTGCTACATGTTACGAGAGATTGGCACAGAAAAAGTCTTTGAAACATACATATTTACAAGGGATGATTCAATGTTATCTTGGTCTTGATCAACCTTTTACAGCAAAACATATTACTGAAGGAGTTTTACACAGCAGACCAGAATTGGAGCCATTAATAATCGAACACGAGCCATTTTGGAGATTAGCTCATTTTACTAAGCTGGATGACACTTCCCAAAAAAATATTAAGCATATACTACTTGAAGACCTTAGGAAGGGTATTAAACCAGACTTATCATTCCTAAAAAGAAATCTAACGTCGTTGTTGGAAGATGCTTCACGCCCAGGGGCTTATCAGCAGAGTTATTCTTACATCATGAAGTAAGATTAATATTTTACATCATGTTTACCACTAAGAAATAGAAAAAAATGTATTTTGTTATGATGAATAGGCTACATATATTAAATGAATTTGATAAGGCAGTTACTACTATGTTAACTGATATAGAACAATTACCAATGATATTTGAAGAATGGGAAAAACGTGGACATCTTATCCGCGCTTCACGTGGTGTAGAATTTGTATTGAGTATGCGTAGGGCTACATTAGACTTGGCAGTTCAGTTACAAAGAGAAATTGAGAACAGAGAAAATTCTGTACTTAAGCAAGAGATTGGCAAGATTTGGCTTAAAAGTGCCAAAATTGCGAGGAAGTATGTACTTATTTATAACTGTTCATTATCTTATTTTATCATTCAAGTTATGTTCTTTTTTAGAAGTGGACTGCATCAACAAGCATATATGTACATTTTGTCAGCTAGTGATTCTTGTCCTCGACAACAACTTTATATAGAACAAGCTCAATTATATTGGCAAAAAGGTTGCCAGGAAGATGCTTTTATAACTCTAAAACGATGTTTTTCTAGTTGTTTCCAACCAGCTACATTTTACAAAGGTTTATCAGCAAGAGAATATTTAGAAGAAAGAAAGCAATGTGCAAAGGTTTGTTTATATAGAAGAGATATATTACAATATTAATCATTGATAATATTATTTGTTTGTTTTAGGCAAAACTTCTATATGCAAAATATAATGATGAAACAGTTAATGTAGATACCGATGCTAACATTATAAATTATAAAGAAGCTATTGAGGTATGGAGAGAATGGGAAAAGAGTCTATTGTTTTGTGCACAGTATTATGAGTCTGTTATAGACAGAATGACTGATGAAGAAAAAGATTCAAGGGGGCGGTAAGTATAAAACAAGTAATATTTGTAATGGAAAAAGTAATTAATAATAAATTTAGGGATTTACAAGTGCATACTATGAATTACTATGGAAAATCACTTCAGTATGGCTGCAAGTACATTCATCAATCTATGCCAAGAATGTTAACTATATGGTTGGATTTTGCTTCTCGCACAACATCACGATCTAGTAATTTTATGAATCAAGAAGAAGACAAATTTCGACAAGATGCATTATTAAAAATGTCGAAAATCATGGGTATGTATTTAATAACTGAAATAATATTTCGAAAGTAATTAAAAATTTCTTTTCTGTAATGAAGAAGTGTATCAAGAAAGGTTACCAAGATTCATGTGGTTGACTGCATTTAGTCAACTCGTATCAAGAATATGTCATCCCTCTACTGAGGTACAGAAGACTATTTGTACCATATTGGTAAAACTAATTGACGCTTATCCTCAACATAGTTTATGGATGATGGCATCAGTTATTAATGTAAGTCATTTAGTTATTAATGATCAATGAAAATGTTAACAAAAAATTCTTTCTAGTCCTCTTATCCTGCACGTCAGAAACGCTGTCAAGAAATTCTCAGCCATACCAAACTTAAAACACCAGAGATGACGAAACTTATTACAGATTTCCATAAATTATGGGAACGATTAATTGAACTATCAAATAAGGCAATCCCGGATGTAAGTTAAAATATTACTTCATGTAAATTTATATACATTTATAATTTTTTAATAGGGCGTCATGAACACTACAATAAATTTTTTGTCACGGAGTCTTCCCCGTTTACTTTCAAATAAAGAATTTAGTTCGATAATGATACCAACAACCAAGTTCAGGCAACTGCATTTACCATCTAAGAGTATGTCATTAGAAAATCATAGTGTATTTTCTTCGTATGTATAATATTGTTTTCTATAGCATTAGTGCTTAATATACAAAATATACAATGTTTTATAATTTTCAGAAATTGGATTCATATATCAGGAATAGAGGATAATGTAGTTGTTATGCCATCTCTTCAAAGACCGCGGCGTATCACGTTAAAAGGTTCAGACGGAAAAGAATATCTATTTATGTGCAAGCCAAAAGATGATTTACGAAGAGACTTTAGATTAATGGAATTTAATGATATTGTGAATAAATATCTTCAAAATGATCCAGAATCACGACAAAGAAGATTGTATATACGGACATATGTAAGTGTATAGTATTAAATACAGTATCACATTTTGTAATATCAACTGTTTAATTTACAGAGTGTTGTACCGCTTAATGAAGAATGTGGTTTAGTAGAATGGGTGCCAAATTTGGTTGGCTTTAGGCCCATTATAATAAGTTTATATAAAGAAAGGAGCATTGCAATTTCGAATAGAGAACTTAGAAGCATGTTGTGTAGTAAGTAGAAATATCATGTTGCAAAATTAAAGTTTAGACAATTACAAAGTTCTTACTTGCATGTTTCATTCCAGCATTAAAAGATCCATTAGAAAAGAAAAGGAAAACATTTTTAGAACAACTTCTTCCACGGCATCCATCGGTACTCGGAGATTGGTTCCGTCTTACGTTTCCTGATCCATATGGATGGTATATTTTACAATCATTCATGTAAATTAAATTAAATTTTATTATGTAAAAACAGAAGAACATGAAAAATATATATAAAATAGGTATGAAGCACGTACTGCCTATATTAGAACTACAGCAGTAATGTCTATGGTGGGATATATTCTTGGACTTGGAGATCGTCATGGAGAGAATATATTATTTGATTCTAAATGTGGAGATTGTGTACACGTAGATTTTAATTGCTTATTCAATAGGGTATGCGAAAAATTTATTTATCAATTTATGTCACAATACAGTCAAATGCTTTAGTTTTATTTATTGTTATATCTGATAAAACAAAACACGACTAAATAGTATATACACAATAAATATTTTAACATTTACTGCTACTAACTACATTTCAATTATCAGGGAGAATTTTTTGAGTGGCCGGAGCGTGTACCATTTCGTTTAACGCATAACATGGTAGATGCTATGGGACCATTAAAAATTGAGGGACCGTTTAGACGTGCATGTGAAATAACTATGAGGGTTCTTCGACAACAAAGTAGCACATTATTAAGTGTATTAACACCATTTGTGTATGATCCACTTGTAAGCTGGAATAAAAATCATATTAGTGAAGGTGGTGAGAAAACAAATGAAAAAGTAAATTATGGTATAATTAATAATTCAATCAATCGTTAATATAAATAGAATATCAGATACAATATTAAAAATTCTAGGCTGTGGAACATATAAAAAATATAGAACAACGACTTAAAGGTTTGATTCGATATCATGGAAAAAAACTAGAGAACATTGCTCTAAATCTTAGTGTTGAAGGACAAACTAATCACTTGATGTTAGAAGCAACAAATGTAGATAATCTGTGTCAGATGTATTTTGGATGGGGTGCTTATATGTGAAAAATATTGCACATACTAAACAATTAAAAAATTAAAAATATACAAACCAATTAGACTCTAAGCTCCTGAACTGAAGTTTTGAAGCGTCATAAAGTATGAAAATGCAGTACTAAGTATCTATAAATGTATGTAAATTATTAAATAATTATTGAAATTTGAGTAATATCATGCTGACATAAATTGTATATATTTTTCTAGGCAAATACGTAATAAAATTTTTACCGCCAAGAAATTTTCCAAATGCATTACATATATCTTTCCTGCTGTGATACAACTAGGCTTTTGAGAACGTAATATAATCATGCATACTTCATCTTTAACAAAAGTCGGCAATTGAGACCATTGTATAGAATACACAGCTGTACTTATACTAAAACTCTTTTATAATGAGAATTAATTTAAATTTGAGCATATCTATTCTCACATATTTGTCATTATATAATATTATTTACCTGTTGCATTAACATATCTCCAGGAAAACAAAAAAGTGATAATTGAAAAAATGACACAATTAAGTAAGACAAATATTTAATTAATTTGGACTGTTCCTTTAATGTCTATAATAAAAAAAAATGTATATTAAGTAATGTGTAATAAATTGTTTATATTTTACAATAATATTTTAAATTCTAATAATGTCCTTACTGCAGAAGCTTGAAATATGACCAAACAAACTATGAAGCTACTGCTCATTGTTTGAAAAAGGAGCATTAAATGAAAATTCTTTTCCATATTATCACAAAACCTAAATTACATTAGTAAAGTAAATAAGAAATAATAAATTTTTTTGAAATGCATTAAATTCATTTACCAAAGGACTATTTGATGATGTTTAATTATTTGTATTATTTTAATTTTTATTTCATATAAATTTGCACTTATATGTTTCGAATTAGCCTTCGAATTAGTTACCTGTAAAATGAGAATATTCTAAAATGAATATTATTGTAATTATATATATAGAATATAATACATACATGAGATATGTATGTATCAAGTTGTTTCAAATTTTTTCTAAGTACTGCAAAATGTCCACATGTATGAAATAAAGCAGTTGTAATTAATCCATCAGTTGCAAGAATGATTAGACAACAAGTACTTGATGCCAATATTTGAGACACATATGCAATCTATATACTTGTATTTATAAATTAAAAACTATAATTAAATCGTATTTACAACAAGAATAAAATCAGATATACCTCGTAGAAAGGAAATTTATAAAATACCATAGGATATGATGCAACAAATGGTAAGCTTCTTGTAGTAAAATTACCTGAGTCTTTATTTTTAGGAGAAAATATTTCAATAATAGGTAAACTATAGAAAAATAATAAGGCATTACACATTGAAATGAAATAAGCTTTGGTGATGTTCTTAGCATATCTGAAAACATATAAATTACTTATATTGTAAATATAATTTAAAAAAGGGAGATTTTTAACATTAATTAATAATTATTTACATTGCATATTCTTGTAGGTATTCAAAAACATTGCTATCTATTATTTTCCAATAATCTGTTAACATGAATTCAATAAAAAATGTCAATTTTTTTCTATTAAATATCCAAACAACTGATTTTAATATAGCAAGTGAAAGTGTAAGTAAATCTGAGCTACAAAAGATAAAAAAAATTAATAAATGTGTTTATCTAAACCAAATTTCAATTACTTTACTTTTAAAAGCATTCAAACCTTGTTTCCATAATAGTATTTAAATCATACCAATTTGTATAAATCATTACTATTTGTGGTATAATAATAAGCATAACACAACTAACACATATAAAATATCTTATAATACTTATTGGATACAATCCAACAAATTTTAGAACTAACTGATTCATAAAGACATAATTTCTAATATTCATTGTATTTGATTGATTAAATATTTAACCTATAATATATACACTTTAAATAAACAATTAATCTATGAACCCTAAATTTATGTTTGTCACGCATCTTGGATTTTATCTATATATAAGACTGATTCCATTATTATTGAACAACAACTTTTAAACAGTGAGACATTGTTAATTTAACATGTTTAATCATTGTCTTAAATTATGAAGAACATAATGACATATTTGCTTTGTGGAGTTCTTTGTGCTTTGAGCCTACACTAAAGCATATAAGAGAAAATGTATAGCTATACATGAACTACCATTTAATGAATATGGCTTGCTTCTTTTGAAGTTATATCCTTGGATCATATATTATTTATACAGCATAATTTTACCATGAAATGTTAGGTTTGATGACAAAGAAGAGGAACTTTAAAGAGAAGGTTATACTTTACTATAATACTTCAGGTAGAGGAATTGTTTTTACAACATAAATCATTTCAAAAGGAAATGTAAAGGAACAACAGTAATAAAAAATTTCAAAGACACAGCCTTTTACTGTAAGTTTTTATAAAAATGTTAGTACAATTCTTTATAGACCATTTCTTGTAAAATTTTATTGCATTTATGTGGTGCATTAATAATAAATAGAACTTTCACGTTTTACTGCATATTTTACAGGTCATTATTTAGTATCACGTATAAGTAAAAATACTTATTCCTGTCTTAGGTCAATATTTAGAACACATTTAAATGATTATAAAAAAAAGTAAAATCTTTCATGACTGCATATCAGACTTAGTTTTTTCAGATGCAACATTTTATAATTATTTACTTAAGAAATTTACCCAGGAAGTATTTGTACAAGTAGTGGTAATAATTATTAGGAAAAGACAAATAGAAATAACTTATCATTTTTATTCAGGGACATTTTCGTTCTACTTGACTTTTTCCACTCTCTTCGTATTCTTGGCTCGATATCCACATTTGTTGAAAGGTTCCAATTGAAGCCAAAATAGATCCACCAATCCAAGCTCCGAATCGTCGTTCGGCACATCCATTTACACTAATTAATTTCAACCTCATACTAGATGGAATTCTCATGGAAAGATCTCGATTTAAACGTTCCGGAAAGCCCTAGATAAAATATGTTAAAAACAATGACAAATTGTTGATATAAAATACAAATATTTAAGTTAATATAACATTAATACATACCTGAATAAACGAGTTTCCACCAGTCACAACAACACTACCATAAAGTGCTGGTCTTACATCAACATCACACATGCCTACACTCGTTGTAACAATATGACCTACTCCCAACATAGTATTGCCAACCATACCACCACGCATTTGCACCATACTAGGATCAAAAAGTGCTTCTGGTATGCGAAATCTTTCACTTCCAAAATCCTTAAAATTTTATTTTTGATTAAATATTTAATTTTTGGATTAGTATACATTATTTGTTACATACTTGGTGATACCCAGTAGGAAATTCATATTGAACTGCAGGAACAGTGGAAACAATTTTCTCATCATATGGAGTTTCTGATACTTGCAGTACAGTAGCTTGGAAATCCTGAATTAGTTTCTTTACCATGTAATTGTGCCAAGACTTAGTAACTTCAGGTAACCCCTTTTTCTTCACCCATCTTGGTTTCTCATGATCTTTAACAACTTCTTTACTACCCACCATATAAGAAGGGGACAAGTCAATGTCATTATCCTGTTATTATTTTGAAAATATAGTTATCCATCTTTTACACTATTATAAAGCAATATTTATAATTATATTCGTACCTGTAAAAATTGTCTACATTGCATACTTATATAGTCTCCTCCAAGTGGAGATTTAACTATTGCCTGTGTTAATACAAAACCATCCTGGACTGGTACAGCAGAAGTATGAGTTGCTCCACTATCAACAACAATACCAGTTGCTCTGCCATTTGCAAAAGCAGCAAGGACTGCATTTTTAACAAGGAAATAAGCTGGTACATTATACTTCTCAAACATCAGTTCAGTTAACTTTTCTCTTTTACTGCGTACATTCCATGGAGATTCAGAAAACAATACTGGATGATATTCTGCATCTGATTGAATTACTTTGGAATAAGTATAATCTAAAACCTATTAAAATAAATATATCTATATTCTACACATAAGAGAATTAAATTTACATAAACAATAGTATCTCTATATTACCTTCTCAAAGTGATCCCAATCTTCAATCATTCCATCTTTCATGTAACTTACGACTTCCATATTTTTTCTTGGAACATGAAGTATAGTAGTATCAATATAATACTTGGTCCCAGATTGTGTAATATTGTTGTCTGGTTTTTTATCATCAATGTCCATTGGTTCTGTTTTCGTTGCTGTGCAATTACCATCTTCTCCTATGCCTACAACTGCTGGAATCTCAGCTTTTGGAGTATCCTCTTGGGCATAACCAACTCTTAAAGAATGATGACCCAAGTCAAATACTAAAGCTCCAATTTCATCTCCCCCATAAAGCATGCCACCTGACATTTTGCTGATTTTAAAATATCTATGATAACAATAAAATTATTTCAATTGAGAAATTCATACCTGACAATATTTAAATTTATTTTATCCGGAAAATTTAATTTTAAAGTTAAGTTTTTCATAAATACAACAAAAATAATAAGTTTGTAGTACGCAAATCGGAGCGGTAACAAATAATAACAAATTCATGAGTAATAAATAAATTTTTAACTTAACCTTATAACTCACCGTAACTTTTTTACAAAAATAACTGAATGAAGTGGTAAAAATATATGTATTTGACGACTACATGAACGTTTATTTATGTATTTTTTTTAAATACAACAGAAACATAACCTTAACTCATAAAGACGCTTAATACCGCCACCATAAACATGATAACTATTAGATAAGCACAAAAAATTATGATATAAATTATTAATGAATATTATATATCGATTTATTATAAATGATGTAAAAAGCATTAGAGTATGATATTTGTATATTATAATTACATATAAAATAAGTATCTATAATATTCTTTCTATTATTTATTATTCGCATTGTAAATAAAAAAGTATAAATTATATATGAAATGTATAATTAAAATAATGATAATTATTGTTCAAATAATTAAAATTATATCTAGAAATCACCTATAATCAAATTGTTTAGGAGTTTTAATCGTTAGAAATAAGAGGAAACATTTCTGGCATTAGACTGTTTAAACCACCTGTTAATTTAGTAAAGTCTCGATGATGTCGCTGTAATCACAAGATGCCCACGAAATGGCGGCTCTCATCAGAACGTCGGTAGACTTGAAACAATGAGGATGTGTATAGCTGTCTTTTAGCCATGTTCTGTCGATGGATTTGCAATAGTGCTGTGCAAAAATGAGATTTGTGGATGCAAGACTCAATCTGTCGTTTCATATGCGACGGTGAGTCAAAGAAATTGGCATGTGTTCACTCGGCAGGACATTGTATGCTCGTGCAGCAATCGTGTAAAGAAACTACAGTGGGTTTTTGTACGCGTCGGAGTCTGTGACACCCGCTGGCCCAATGGAGCCGCGTATTCTTGCTATTCCGTTGGCTTTGTTGACATTCGTCGTTTTAGGTAAGTTTAACTCATTTTTGTCAAGAAAGCGTGTTGTTTTGTGTTATTTTTATCTAAAATAATATATTTACTGTGGATTGTTAAAATATTTTATTATTAGAAAGTGATTTAAATCATTGATACACGTATGAAAGTGAAAATGTAGAATATGATTTTCTTCGATAACTGTATTATAAAAATACCTTTACTTTCATTTCTATATTTTCAAATATAATGTGATTTTGTAATATTCTGGCTGATGTTTTATCAATGAGCATAGAAGCAGAGAAACATCATTTCGTATCATTTTAGAGTTGCTACTGTATGCATCCCGGCTCATCGTAGTAGTAGACAAATATTTACGAAACCATTCTGCGATTTTCTGTTTGCTAATCTTTTAACACTAGAGATTACATTTTGGCAAATCGTTTAAACTTATAACCTAACTCTTTTATCATCAAATTTACCAAATGCATGGTAAGGAAATGCAATTCCTAGATATTATTTAGAATTTGATGATTATATGTTATAAATTTTACTTAGAAAATATAGAAAATTGCGAGACAGGAATCATTTCTGTTTTTGTTGTATACGATTTCTATAACGTTCAATTACTATATAAGTCGTTGTTTAATTGAATCATTTATTACTGCGCAAGTTCAAATTAAATAACGAGCCATTTAAGAATCAGGACTTTAGATACTGGTCAAGACGAACGAATGCATGGACAATATATAGCTTATGAACGAAATATTTTTAACGATTCACCAATATTTTGAAAGGAAGTTGAGAAGCACTGCATTTCGAGTAGCTATTATTGATGCAGAGAAGGATGTAGTATAAGGGGGTGATTCGGGGTGTATTTCCGATTGCAACGATTTGAACGGAGACACATCCCTTGCAGCATTGTAATAACGAGCACCGAATAGTTCTCTTGATAAAAGTAACAATAAATTGGTAGAAGTTTAAGACAAAGCTAATAACTATTGTCCTAGTCTATATCATGGAACAGACGAAAATAAAAGTTTTAAACTTTTATATCACAGATTCATTAAAGAGATTACACCACTAGAAGCATTTGCCTTTAAACACTTCAGTGAAGTATTCCAACAATGCGGCAAGCCTCTCCTTACGATTTTATCGTGATAGGAAATGCATGTGTTAAACATTCAGCGTCGCTATGTCAATCTATCAGCAGAACTACCCACGCTAATAATTAAACGTCCTATTCTTTTTCCCATCGTATCATATGACAAAATATCAGTAGGATTATCTTCCTTATTATTCTTTTTGTTTGCTGTTGGTTATTGCATACATTCGTCTAGTTAGATATAAAGATCCATTTCCGGCTCATCGTGGTGGAGAAGTGTACAAACATTAAAAGGGGCCTTAAAAGGGTGCATTCCTCAAATATACCAGTTAGCTTTGTCCGAAGTACGATTATTCCGTCGTGCAGTAAATTGCGGAACAATTATAAATCCTTGTAAACAGAAGTTTACTACTGACGTAAACGTTCAAAGTTTAGTTCGATGAACTGAAATTCTATATTAACTAATGCAGTGGAAAAAAAATTAAAAATTACTTATATTTTTTCATTCTTTCTCTTGCAATGTACGCATATGAGGATTTATTCATGACGTATGTGTCCAACGTAACAAGATGCACTCTAACGCTGGTAGCCCAAATACGGAACGGTTCGTGCATCATACACGTGTCCAAATGTGTTCCATGTAAAGTGGTATTTACAAACGCGTGTACTCTGTGGCTGATGTCGTAACAACACCTTAATGGTCAGCGCCCACGCGATGTATGTGCGTGCATATTGATATACAGGGTGATTGTTTTTATATTTTGTCAAAGAGTTTTTCATTAACATTATTTAACCACCTTTTTCTCCTAATTTCTTGAAAAGTTATTATGCTTTCCTAAAGATACAACGTACTAGCAATTCTATTACTGCCATACTTAGAGCACATACATGTGTGTGTTATACTCTCAAGGCTCTACGTTGCTTCCTTGATTCTCATCCTTCTTTGATGTTTCGTGGAACAGTACCTTGAACGGAAGTAACAGTCACGATACATAGAAGATACGAGAGAGAAAGATAGAAGAAACCAGGTTTGAGAAATTCATTTATCGATTGCAAACATTAATTTTAAATTCTCGTGATTCTTCGTGTGTCTTAATGTTACCCTCTAACTCCAGTTTTGCAAAAGATTAATTGATTTCTTCGAAGCAGGAGTCGCAATATCTTTTCTACCCTTGTCTCCGGTTTATTAGTATTTATGAGACACTCTGTAGATTTGTCGTACCACGATGTATATGTACCTTGCCTTCCTTCACGGTCTGTTCGTCACATGTCGAGTACTTTTACCGCGTTTTTCAACATTCTCCCTCCTTCCCTTGCCAACTTCCACAGACGTACGAACTTGCTCTGCAAATTAATCCGCGTTGTAAAAAATTCAGAAGATTTATTGACGCGCGGAAATTCGTGCGAGGTGACGAATGCGTTTAAGTATTTATGAACCGAACAAAATAAAAAGAAACGGGGTTAAGTTATTTTCTACTAGGTAGTTATATATATATATATATAAAGAAAATAAAAGAAAAGATATAGAAAAAACAACATAGAAAAAAAAAATATTAACATTTTTATCTCCTTTTTTCGCACAATTAATCGATGAAATTCAAGAAAATACTTTGGGATGCGAAATGATCCTTAAGTCGATCGTGTGAACCTTATCTCCAAGAAATTATCCGATACATTTAACTGGCCTGAGATAACGACATCAAGATCTTGCTGTAAGTTTGTACATGATACTCTCGTTTTCCTTCTCTCTTTAAACCCTGTCTCTTATAAAGTCTTTCTTTCGCTCCCGTTATGCTACTAAACAAGATGTATAAACTGATATCTGATAAACGCTCTGTAGAAAATAAGGTGCAGTGGTTGTTCCTGCGACAGATTTACCTCGCGCATGCACTGCAATGGTTCTCCTCTTGATCTATTTCGGTATGCCGTGCGGTAGGTTGTCGCCCGCGTTCAAAAATCAAATAGACGGAGAACGGTTTATTTTCTTTGAGAATGCAGCGTTGTGGCGCTATCGGGCGCCAAATTTCACACGTTCCTCTTTTTTTCTCTCCCATTTTTTCTCTTCTTTTTTGTTTTCTTATATTTACCTTTACATTTTCGTTGCAACGATTAATGAAATCAATTTTAAAGTAAAACAATTTCCAGTAATATAGACATCGATAATCAATTCAACGGTATAATCGATACATTTTTCAACTACGTGAAGTTGGCTGCATTAAGGCAGTGGCAATTCGAATTATTGTTGAAGGTATAATGTTAAAAAGACGAGAAATGCGATTTGAATGAAGATAGAAATATATTCTATGGTATGAATTACGTCTGTCGATCGCTGAAGACGTGTTCGTTCCTTCGCGAAGGTTGCACGGGAAGGTGACAGACCACCGTGAGCGTGAAACTGTAACCCAATAACCGTAGACAGTGTTTCTCAATTTTATGGAAGTGTTGATTGAATTAACCAGTGTTGATTTATACAATTAGTTATCTTTTTCAAGTAACTACGATTTATTTCTCCGTGATGTTATTTAATCTTGTGTTATTAAGTCTCTCAGTATTTTTTCAATAGTTATTGCTGATAAGAAAGTTCAGAAATAAGATACTTGTACCGGAAGATCATTAGTTCGAGAAAATTTTCACAATTAACTGCATATAATGTGGGTCTTTTTAAGAAGATCTTTCAGAATTTCTTGAGAAAACTTTATCGAGCTTGCTGGAATTTCTTCGACCATACCTATCTTTAAGCCTTACTATATAAATGTAAATAAAAAATAGAACTGTTTAGTACGAAAATAGCTCAACGATGTGTTAAACAATATTTAAAATAATTTAAGTTTATCAAAATAATGGAAACAATTTAGAGAATTTATATTTGTAAATCTTCTGAAAAACTAAAATTCTTTGTTCCTATAAAAGAAATATTTCATAACCATATCGATTGCTTGAAATTAAACAACAAAGCTTAGCATTTATTGGAAATCATTCGCATCGCGTCGCATAAAATGGTTTTGTCAGGTTCTTTTTTTATTTCTTTATTCTCACAAAGAATTATTCAGAAAAGATGTTGAATCGTCCTCCGTCGTGGTCGTGTACGTCGTATCGGACGATCGCAAAGCCCCACAAAAGAAAGAAAAGAAAGGAAAGAAAAGAGAATTTAGGCACTCGGCTCGGGTGTCTCGCTAAAGGCCTAAAGGGTGCCTGTGTAGGGTTGCCGACCCTTTATCCCCTCTCTTTTCTTCAATTACTCTGCAACGCATACATATCTCCCCTTTCATACCTAAGCCTCTAGTAATTTTTTCATTTACCACCATGATATTTAGTCACCCACGCACGTGTGAGATAACTTACCAAATACAATTGAAATTTGATAACGATGGTTATCCTTTACCCCTCTTTTAGTTGAGGTAAATGCTCATCGTAACACTTTGCTGCAAGTAATTTTTCTACATTATACATTTAGATAAATATTAAGAAAACGTTATAATTTTATATCCTTAATTTTATGTGTTAGATATTATGATTAAAAATAGTAAATAATACTTTCTCTTGACAGCTAGTGCAGGTGGATTATATTTTACCATTGAGCCACAAGATGTTGTGGTTGAACAGGGTGCTCCAGCTAGATTGGATTGTGAAGCAAAAAGTGATTTTGGGAAACCTAGTATACAGTGGAGAACTGATGATGGACAGCCAATTAATTTTATTGGAGATAGTTACCAGTAAGAGTCTTGAGATTTAGAATGATTCTTAGGAATGGTTCTTAGGAAAAGAGTTTCTAATTTTTATCATATCTGTTTCTTTGTAGATCTCAATTAGCTAATGGATCCTTGTACATAAATAGCGTTTATGGCAGTAGTTTGGAATTGACAGGAAGCTATCAGTGTCTAGCTTTTGTAGATGATGTTGGAGCTATTGTTTCTCGAACTGCCACAATTAAAATTGCAAGTTAGTATTTTGGACTAATATAAGTTTGTGAAACTACAATAAGTCAAGAGTATATAAAAAATGGTATTTTAAAGGTTTGCCAGGATTTGAAAGGGAACCTCAAGATACTATGGTTTACCCAGGGCAAATTGCATATTTAAGTTGTACACTTCTTACAACCTCTAGTTCATTGGTTATACAATGGCTAAAAGATGAACATCCATTAATTCTTGATGATAGTCGAATGACAGTTTTGCCATCAGGTGCATTAGAAATTGATGATGTTAATATGCAAGATATTGGATCATACAGATGCAATGCTAGTAGTTATGGACAATATAGGCTCAGTAATAAAGCACAATTAGGATTATTAACAAGTGATATTGGTTAGTATAAAGATTTAAATATAATTTTTGTATAAGGTAGCAAATTTCAATTTGATGTCTTGTGCTATAGATCAAGGAAGTACTCCTCCGATTTTTATTGCTAAACCATTACAACAAGTGATTATTGAAGGATCAACAGTCACACTTGAATGTGCTGCCAATGGCTACCCTAAGCCAAGTATACTTTGGTTGAAAGATGGTGTTGCTATTGATGTAGCATCTTTTGACTCTAGGTATATGATAAAAACTCATATTAGAAGGTAAATTTAAATATTAAAATTTTTCATTTAATTGTTTAGGTATAGTAGAATTGCTGCATCCAGTCTTGTGATCAGTAAGGTTCAAGAAATTGATGATGGTTCTTATCAGTGTCGTGCAGAGAATGAAGTTGAAACATTAGATGCAGCTGCTAGTTTAATTGTACAAGGTAATTTAGTTTTAATATTAATATCTTTATTTATTCATCTTATTTTGTAATATTTAATAGCCACATATGTATGAGTATATTTTTAGTTCCACCAAGATTTATTAAAAAACCAGAAGATAAGGTAGCTAATGAAAATCAAGATTTGGAGTTTGAATGTGAAATTTATGGAAAACCTGAGCCAAAAATTACATGGCTTAAAAATGGAGAACGTATTACTTTAAGTGCATATTGGCAAATCGTTAACGGGTGAGTTTACATGATATCACTTATAATGAATCACAGTGATTTATAAAGCACCATGGAATAATTAAATTTTTCTTATGATATCACTTTCAGTTATAATCTTAGAATTAACGGCCTACTTCTAATAGATGCTGGTATCTTTCAATGCATTGGAACAAATTCCGCCGGAAGTGTACAAGCTGCAGCACGTTTAACAATTAATCAGCCTAGTGAGTGCTTATTTTATGGTTTAAGTTATGTATACACTTCCTGTGTACGATTTTCAAGATTTTTCTGTAGAATAGTTTATTCTTATATTTGTGTAACATACTTATCAGGTCTTAAATTTTTTGTTTCTCTTTTTCTCTTTTTCTCTTTTTTTACGAGTGTAACATATATCATTTTTGATTTCAACTCTTTTACAAGGATTTTAATTTAATATTTATTGTTTTCCATTTGTGTTTCCTCCTTTTTTAACTGTGTTGCATGCTAACATATGTATTCAGAGAAGGCAAATTCCCATAAAATTACTACTCCAAAAACAGTTCCTAAAAAAAAGTTATTATTACATCGACAATTGTATAATAAAACATGGCAGCACCCAAGTACCCTTTTAGGCCATACAATGTCTGCGTTTACACCTAATCCACCACTTTCCATTAGTCCTTCTGATGACCCTGCAGATCTTCCTGGATCTGTAAAATTTCCTAATTCCCTTTACGATCCAAAATCCCATTTTGTAGATGACACAGACAGTGTGGAATCAATAGAAGGAAGTGTCCCGTCAGCACCAAGGAATTTAAGTGTCGTCATTGTCACTGCTAGATTTGTAACTTTACGGTGGCAAGAACCCGAAAATACAAACGGAGAAATTTTAAATTATTATATTTATTATAAACAAGAAGGTGTTCAGAGGTGATGATTAGTTCTCTGATAAGCGTACTTCGTGTTTAATCGCAGCTTGTATACAATAGTAAAATTTTACAGAGAACGAGTTATTAATACGCAACAAAAGTTAGAGGCGGTAATACAAGGTTTACAACCAAGTATGACGTATCAGTTTCGAGTAGTCGCTTTGAATGAAAGAGGTTCTGGAATATCTAGTGAAGTGTTACAAGTTACCACACTTACTGAGGTCCGTTTTTAATTTGAAAACATGTTTAATATATAATTAACTGAATCAATGACCAAAATTTTATAATTTTATTACAATAGGCTAATGTTCCTGGACCACCATTGAATTTAGAAGGTTATGCAACAAGCAGTGTGAGCATTGCTTTATCTTGGGAAAAGCCACAAGTTGTTAATGGCAGAATTTCTAAATACATAATTACATTTGTAGAGGTATATGGTTTTGAATAAAAAATGTTAACAATTACATAACATAATTTAAGTATTATATCTCAAATAATTTATTTAAAGGGTGACAATGAGGAAATAATACGTGAAACTACTAGTACAATGCACGAATTAGTAGATCTCGTGCCTTATACAGAATACAGTATTAAAGTTCAGGCTGTAAATGAGAATGGTCCTGGTGTGTTTAGTAGAGATATCATAGTGCGAACTTACAGTGCACAACCTACTCAACCACCGCACAATGTAACAGTAGAACCAGTTAATCCTACAGTATGTATTATGTTTGAAATTCCATAGAAATATTGAACAAGATGCAATCATATAAAAGATATTGTATTTTGTACTTAAAATAATTATTTCTTTTTTTTTAAGAGTATTATAATAAGATGGGAGCCGCCACTTGAAGGACAAAACGGAATTATCACTGGTTACAAAATTCGTTATCGTCGTCACGATCGCGGATCGCAGCCTGTAACAATAACAACTGAAGGAAATCAACGTTCACGAGTACTCACGGAACTGGAGAAACACGTTGTCTATCAGGTTCGCATATGTGCCTTAAACATGAATGGAACTGGACCTTGGACAGAATGGATACAGATAGAAACATATGAAATTGAGTCTGATGAAAACCGAGTGCCAAATACACCCAGCAACTTAAAAAGTTAGTCTGCTTAAAATTTTCTTAAGTTACTGTGAGCTTTAAGTGATGGACATTAAATACATTTTTTTGTATATATACAATAGCAAAAGTAATGTCGGATTATATACAAGTTTTTTGGAATCCTCCAAAAGATCAAAGTATTAAGGTAAAGGGATATAAACTAGGATGGGGAAAGGGAGTCCCTGATGTCGAAGTACGCCTTCTGGATGGAAAAGAACGATCTTTCACCATAGATCAATTAGGTAAGTAGTCAAATTCGTTGTTACATAAAATCATGAACATGTTAGGTACATTACTTTATCCTCCTTTTTATTTAGAACCGATTACTGAGTATGTTATATCTCTAAGAGCAACGAATGATGCTGGTGATGGCCAACCAGCATATGCAAACGTGAGAACTACAGAACGTTCTGTATCTGAATTTTCTGTGCCTTTGATACCTCCTGTTGGTCTTAAAGCAACTGTTCTTTCTGATACTACAGTTGTACTATATTGGACTGATACAACTTTGCCAAAAACTCAAGTATGTGAATATTAATATCCTATTAATATTGGATTATTAATATGTTGTATTGACCATTAATAATATTACAGTTTGTAACGGATAATCGTTATTACGTGGTACGTTATACATCACATCATCATAGCAGTAACGTTCGTTATAAATATCATAATGCTACTGATCTTAATTGTATGATAAATGATTTGAAACCCAATACATTATATGAATTTACAGTTAAACTTGTTAAGGTATTTACAATTTATCATTTAGAGAAATATTATATAGTATAATTATATGTAAAAGTATATAAATGATTAATTGGATTAGGGAAAACGAGAATCGCCATGGAGTATGGTTGTTTCAAATCAAACTCAAGAAGCTGCACCTAGTTCTGCACCTAGGGATCTAATAATTCAAAGTATCGAAGACCGTCCAACTTCAGCTCTACTGCGTTGGCAACCTCCTAAACAACCAAATGGTCCAATTACAGGTATTTATTAGCAATCTTATTAGTTGCTTAAATTATATAATAACGACGTATAAATTTATTTCAGGATATATTATTTTTTATTCGACTGATAACACGAAGTGGGATCGGGATTGGTTATTAGAAGCTGTAATTGGAGATAAAACTGAATTTATCGTGAAAGGTCTGCAACCAAATACAACCTACTACTTCAAGATCCAAGCACGAAATTCAAAAGGATATGGTCCTTTTTCTACAACTGTTCCATTTAAGACACCTCAGAGTAAGTATTTAATTCTGATCAATGTATATGCACGTACTCTACAATTTTTTTTATTTCAAAAGTTTGTTTAGTTTTGCGTATATAATATTATTTGGACTAGTAACTTTCACATTCATTTATCTTCTTATATCGTATGTGTTATGCCGGTGTGTTATTACTATAATTTTTTTATTTTTATGTTAGGTAGTGGCATGGATATCTATGATGAATTGCATGATCGAGGTAAAACATTATTCTTCTTTAGCTTGTCGTTGTTAGTATAGCATGTACATTAAAGTAGCGAGTGACGAAGTAATATAAATATTGTATTTTAAAAAAATAGCATTATTATTGCTACTATTAAGATGACTAAAAAATTAATTTAATTTACAGATGGACGTGGACTTTCGAATATATTAATCTATATTATTGTGGGTTGTTCTATTGTTGTTATCACTGGCATAGCAGTAGTAGTTGTGGTTATATGTTGTAAACGTAGCCCGGATACACCTGATAGAAAGAAAGGGTATGTTATGCATATATATATGCAATATTTATTTTTGATTATAATTTTTTTTATACAAATTACAATCGTAATGTTTAGATATATGAAAGATACAAATCAGAAAACAAACATCAAGCCACCAGATTTGTGGATTCATCATGATCAGATGGAACTCAAAGCTCTTGAAAAGACTTCAATAAATGGAGAGGCATCTACTAGTGGTGTAGCTAGTAATACCTTACCCAGGTCAAACAACCAAGATTATAATCAAGAAAATGTGCATGGAAATTCTAGTTCATTGGACAAACGTACTTATGTACCAAGTTATCTGGGTAAGTTTTTAAGAATAGTATTTTTTTATCAAAACACTTTATCATGTCAGACATATTGCTTACAAACTTTTGTTCATTTAATTAAATTTCTAGCTTTATTATGATTATACAAATAAATCCAATATCACGTTTAATATATCTAGATAAACAGTTTTAATAGTTTCTTATTTATTATTAAACTTTGGTTAACATCACGTAAATTATTTATTATTATGTATTTTGTTTATTATTTTCCTGATTTTCGTATTCGGTTTATGTTCATTCACTCAACATTAGGTAACACTGATGAGAAGTGCTCGACCCTGAGTAGGCAGCATAGTCGAGGAAGCCACAAACCTAAACTTATTACACTTCCTGTTGACAGTGCATCTTTACATCAACGTAAGTAATAATAAAATTAAGTGCGAAGGTGTAATCTTTTATAATTGTAATAATATCGATTCATACATAATAAGTTAACGAAATGAAAACTATTTAAGCTGTATGAAAAAGTACTTGACTTGTTACAGCTATAGCGACAGCTACACCGATCGTAAATACGAGCATGTCACAACCAACAATTCACACATCATGCAGTGATACACCATCCGTGAGACAGAATTATCCTCGAACTGTGGCTCAATATAGTTTAAGTCGAGCACATATTACTTTAGAACCGACACCAGAATCGAGTCCAGATTCTTGCAATATTTCAACTTCCTATGAACCAATGCAAAGCCAAGTAAGATATCGTATAATTGGTAATAAATAGTTTAAATAGAGAATCCTGTTTGATCTGAATCATTTGGAATTAAAGCAATTATCATATGGTACAAGTGGTCAGTCATATAGTGGAAATACTCAATATGCTTCGGGACACTATAACAATAATAATCAACCATCAAGTACAGGCAGTGGAACTGATAGTGGTAGTGGTAGTAAAAGAATGCAAGGACATCCCTTAAAAAGTTTTAGTGTGCCAGCACCTCCACCTCAGTCTGCCCCTTCAACACCAGCCCAACAAAAACATGGCGGTGAGTCTTTTCTTTCTTTTTTTTTTGATCTTTTATCATGATGTATATATTACATTATTTTTATGCGTTATATAGTTTCTCAAGTAACTGTAAGACCTACAATGTCCGGAAGTCCGTATAAGAAACCACAGAGTTCTACGCAATTAGCAAAAAACCGATTAGCCTCAGTTTCAAATCCGGTGCACACTTCAGAAGAAGTTGAACGGTTGAAGGTAATCATTCAATTAATTTATGCTAGAATGTTATTATAGGAAGATAAAGAAGTTTGTAATTTCTTCAATTACGGTTAATTATGGGATAAGATGTTTAATTAACTGTTTTCATTTTTATAGCCTTCTTACAGTACAGAAGAATTGAACCAAGAAATGGCTAATTTAGAAGGTCTTATGAAAGACTTGAACGCCATAACAGCATCTGAATTTGAGTGCTAGGAAAGGTTCCTAAACCTTGTGCCATCTCAATTCAATAGACTGCAATGATACATTCTCAATGTTAGTACCTGAGAGATAGATGTAACAATTGTGTTACACGTCAAAACTATTTGTGAAGTTGAAACACATAAAAATGCATAATTGGCAATGGATAATCGATGACCGATGAACGGCCTCGATATTAGATTTTCCAAACAGTTCACTTGAAACTTATAATTCCAGTGGTATTGGACTAGAACGAGTTTTTTCCTAGTCAATTTGTTTTTTCCTCCGGTACTAACGTTGCTTTTTTCAATAAAATGCAAAATATGCTTGCCAATGTATTTTGACACTGCCATATTCTTGTAGCGAACTTGTATTTTACAAGAACGTGAGTGGTATGGTTTGAGAGTGTTGAAAAAAAAATTGAACATTTTATTATGGACGTTTAACGGTGTATTTTTATGCATACAGTGTGTGCAAGTTAATCGAGATGAAAGGAAATTGATAAGTTTGATTCTTATCGATGGTCCTCCTGTGCGATTAGATTATGTTAAATTAATAATCCAGTGAAATCACAGTGAAGAAAAACGGTTTTAACGTTTTTCAATTCTTACACGTGTAAAAGTGATGGGTAACTTCGCGATTACCTTTATGTGCTTCATAAAAAGATAATGATCTTGCCTAAAAAAAAAGAAAAAAAAAAGAATTCGTACTATATCCAAAAACTCACGCGCTCTTTGCTATGATTTTGTAACTCATAAGAGTACATTTTATATACCAGTAATATCGACTGCCATACTTACGCTTAGGATGGCTAGATCACGTGAGTCTCTTAATCGAACAATTTATGCTTTATTATGCATAAGGCGGACAGTAGGAATATTTTTTTCTATTTTTTTTATCCGTCAGAATGTTTTTCATAACGATTTATTAATATTTGATAATAGGTTTTATACGGTACGGTACTTTCAAGTTAGTTATTTTAGTATTAATCGATTAAAACAATAAGTCATGAAAGGATTTCACCAATTTCAGATTATTTCTAAATTGTACTAAATGTTGGCTATAATTTGATAAATTATATTTAACGAGTTGAAATTTTCTATATATACAGAATCTTAATGTTTTCTAACACTGTGTAATGGCCTTAAAACATTTTTGTATTAAGTTGCCCTATACTCAGTGGCTTTGGCAGCTTGCTAAGGAACTCTGTTCTCACTTATGGAAGAATGTTCGCGTATACTTTTAAAGCAACAATGTAGTATTACGATCTCATTGTGAAATTATTTTAGGGTTACAAGTGAACATCGAGTATGGGTATTATAATAGGCTGTATAACATATGAGAATTAATAATTTGATTATTGCGCATCTTTGTCGCGAAGATCGTACGTATCGAAACGTGATACGATTCAGCAAGATATCGATAGTGTCGATAGTGTCTATATATTTACAATTTCGATAGTTCGTTTAACTTAAATAAGCATTATGTTTCCAACGTCCAGTTAAGGTACGTACGTCGGTCTAATTAATAGAATTAAATTAAATTTGAGAGTCGTTTTTGCAAACTATTTTTTATCCAATATTTACAAATTGTTATTTGTAAGTACTATACGTTATTTCGTTTGGATATATTTGAATACAGCATGACGACTTGCAATTTACGTGCAAGCATTTTGCAAGAAACGATAGATCGAATTTCTCTGTCATTCGATATAATGACAACGGACAGATTTCACATAGAATATTAAGCGGCAGTTTTTGACCGTCGAGATACATAGGTATATTTCCTTCCAATGCTAGGAATTTGCTATATAAATTTTGTACACGTTTTATTGCGATATATAGGTCTCTTTAGTATTAATGAAAGAGAGACTTTGGAGATGCAGGATAAAATAACGATTCTAACGTGAGGTGTAAGAAGAAATGCGAACAAGTAATTTCGCATGTAGTATTTCGTACTATACCACCTTTTTAAGCACTTTTGTATTTTCTTAACGTTGAATATAATTGTACAAAAGTCCAAGACGTAAAGGACATTGCACCAAGGTTCCCGTTGCGGCAAAGCCTAATATGGAAATAGTACAAAGCAATATGTGATACTCTATTCTTTGCAATGTAATTTTGCCAGTCGGGAATTATGCGAAAAAATCATCGACTTGTCCAGAGTATTACATATTACTCGAATATTTGCCGCTAGACGGGAAATTCGTCTTGAGCAAAGCGAAGCGTATAAGTTCTTTTATCGTCGGCTTAGCTCTAATTAGAGAGTTATTAAAACTAGTATTAAGATGTACGTATTCGCTGTTTCGCACGATTTCCATTCATTCTCTTTATCTCCCTCTTTCTCAATTATTACATTTTTCTTGAATATGAAATATTATGAAGAAAGTGGCTGTATGCTTAAAAAATCAGGAATAATTTTATGTAATTTTCGAATATTTTTTTATTTACTTCGAAATTAAACATATTTTATAAATATTTTACAATTGTTATAATAAAACTGTGCGAGTACGTGTGAGCTATACCGATAAAAAAAGAACAATCTGTATATTAAATATATATATATATATATATACACACACACACAAAAGTTTATAACTATTGCGTGATTCAAAGGGCGATTTAGCTCTTTGTAAAGGAAAAAAGGAATGGGCCTACAAAAAGGCCTGCGGAAATATTTTACCACAAAAGTATAGTAGATATCTATATATATATAAAGTATATATTTATCTATGTAATTATTATTTATTGATTTTTATGTATACTGGGAATATTGAGGATAAATGAATACTGCAAGATGCTAGAGGCTGGTTGCTTTTAATCATTTCCATTGATACATCATTGTGATTATTGCTATCATTGTCATTATTATTTTTCACATCTGTTTCATTGTCGTTCATTATCCTTCTCTCTAATCAGTGTTTTATCAATTTGTTAGGATTAGCATCAAAATTTGATGATAATCAAAACTAAAAAAGCTACAGGCCACTGATGTATATAGATAGAACACCGCCACCTTATAAAATAATTAAGTATTTATATAGAGACACATACACACACATGCATACAGATATAAACAAATATATATACACACATATACATATAATATATATATATATTTGCTATATATATAGCAAAATAATTATTATATTTGTACAATACATATAAGGCAGCCATCTCTAATGAAACATTCATAACAAGTGTGTGATAATATTTGTAAAACTTGGTATCCAATAAACAATCTTATGTTCTTTACAAATTATCATTTCAGTTCTATTTTGTGTATCATGGAAGGAGAAATATAAAGAAGATGTCGAAAGGCAGAGATATCAAAGGTGTGAGATTCTGTTTCTTTTCAGTTACATATTTAATAATTGTTATATTAATGAGTTATATAAAAGTAATAAAAGTATAATTTTGAAATTTTTACAGATTAGCGCGGTTTAAAATTGCAGGAAATTCAAATAATGTAAGCATTGTAGAGACATCTATGACGAGAGTGCTGCCACTTGAACAATTCTTTATTTAATACGAACAAATAGGGACAGATAGCGTTACCAACTAACCGTGCACGTTTAAAAAAAGCAAAGGACAACAATACGCGATCAAGTGCGGTGAAAAATCGGTGAAATGGTGGAGTTGTATCGTGCGTATATTTAGAACTAGGTGAGTACTTTATTTGTTAATTAATACCCCGATTTATTCGTCGTGTGCCAATTGATGATGTACGGACATCTAAGGTAGAGCATTTTTTTTATGATCATTTTCGTACATTTCAATCAGTGAAAAACATTTTATAGAGTCCACTAGGTATCTCCGTTGAATTATACTATCAATTCGTATACATTTAAGAATAAAAATGCAATTACATATTTTATTGTTTGACAATTTCGTGTTGTGCTTCGTTATCAAAGTACTTTGAATACATTGCTTATTCCGATGCTCTTTCGTGCATCATAACCTCTTTATACATTACATACAATATTGTGAATCATTTTACGAATGGCACATATCACCGCAGATATGCAAGTATATGTATGTATGATAATGTTATACATAAAATATTGGTAATATTAACTTATGATTTACCTTTGTAAACAATAAAAGTAAGAGATTGATGTCGAAAATGCTGTGTATCGAGATTTAGTACATCGACAATTATTTGTTTTTTAATTCGATGATACATGTTAGCATTGTGGTATTGTCTCATCAGCTTTTTAATTATGAGATTGGTAGGACTCAATATAGAATTAGATACAATGAAAAAAGAGTTTTGGAAATATTTATTAACAATTTATATTAAGTACAGTATTTAATATAATTTTACAAATATTTCAATTTAAGATCGATAAATAAGGCATTGCCGTATTAAGGTACATGTCTATTTGTGTATTTACGATACTCGATCATTTTCGCGGGAAGATTAACACGTGGTTTGTTATTACATCCTTCCTTTCAAAATGAAGTTGTTTTATTAATATTTGGTATCATATTTTTATCATTGTACCTCTGTTTATGAAAAACACATGCTAACCTTTAAATAATATGAATTTATGTGTATATATATATATATATATATATAGTTGTTTTTAAAGAAATTAAGAGAAAGAGATGCTAAAGTAATTTAAATGTGGTTAAGATAAAATGAAATCGCTTGAAATTGGTTTTTCCTTTCTAGAGGTCGAAATATCCCCTCTCCTGGGGTGCCAAAATTCTACGGTGGCTTAATGCCCCCCATCCCCCACCATGATCCGGCCTCTATTGATTGCTCTACCGCACTACTGCCCTACTTTTATGACTTCACTTCACTCCCGCCTCCTCATCTGTCGCTGTTTCTCTCTTTCTCTTTGGTACCACGTTCCCTGGTATCCTACCTCCAGCGTCTATTGGGGAGTCATAGACACATGGGCATCGTAGATGCCGTGCTGTTTGTTAAAGGCTTCTTTTCAACTATACCAATATGCAGCAGAACACCTAATTTACCTATTCTTCAAAGCTTTTTCCTGAGTCTTAAGATTGGCCATTGTTGACCAGGGACATCAGAATTATCGTTTAGCTTTACATAAATTTTTCAGTT